TGGATTCCTGTTTACATGTGTCTGTTGATTCCTTCAATTAACACCAAGAGACTTGAAGTGCTGATTCCTCCCCAGATGACACTCAGTCTGCAGCAGACCTCCCACCGATGGCAACTGAAGATCAGCGTGCTGCCTCGGGAGCAGGGTGTACCTTCCTACATGCTCTTTTGTTTTGCTAGAAGCCTGTACAATCAGTTCAAATTCACGGCTCCTTCTGAGCTTAAGGCACCGCGGATGGTTGTTCTGGCTATAGGTACAGTGAGGTCATTCATCCATACCAGCTTTGGAAATGTTATTTCAGCAAAACTCAGAAATTATTTATATGCAGTGTGACTCACCAATAGTTGAGATAGAAATTCATTTGGACAAGATGAACCACTTTATTATTGTTAAAGAATATGCTTCTGTGTTGCCTGATAAGAGATTTGAGGCGCCTTAACAGAACAGAACAATCTTTACTCAAAGGATGAACTATTGTTTGTTGTATTACTGTGTCAACACTGCAGGGTCAACCTCATCCATTAAAAAGTGTTTCAAACTTCTTAGGAGAAGCTATGTCCAGGCCTGATTTGCATTTGTTTCTTTCTTTTGAATGGCAAGCAGAACTCTTTATAATCCCACACGATAGAAATTTTGTTCAAAATTAGAACAGCTTCTTCCCTTGTTTTTATAAGGTAAATTATGTGATAAAATTTATGAAAAGTAGTCTTTTCCCTACAAAAACTTTGCAGTAGTAAGCCACATTGTGAGCCAAGAAATTAATTAAATAACCTTAACCATGCCATATGCAGCTAAGTGAGGATCACATCCTGCTACAATCACAGCATTTTATGAACTTGTTGTAATGTCTTTCTTACATCTGTCAAGCTAACACCATATCTGGTGTGTGAGATCAACAAAGGTGACAAACTACCCAAGTTTGAGACCTACTTTCTTCCTAAGGACAGAAGGAACATTTCAGTATCTTACCTCTCTTTTGCAAGAACAGCAAGTCCCTGTAGCAAGATAGGTACAACAGTCTGATCCAAGTAGGCACGTGTGGGTAATGACTGAAGATCCACCTTTTGCTTCGATGTTTTCTCTGCGTTTAACTTCTCATTTTCCACTATCCTCTGAAGGAAAAGTGAATGAACATTGGTAATAGCAGTCAGATCTACTTTGAAGTATATGGGCAAATAAAGTACCTGTTTCTCTGCAAGCTCACTGAAAATAACTTCTTTACATCTTTTAAGAAAATGTAAGTGTGCATTTTTCCTTGGACAAGCTTAAACCAGAGGAGTCTCTGTTCAGAGAAAACAGTCTTAGGAAGGTATAACTTTAACATGACCAGCTCCAACTGAATGGTTCCCGCATGCCTCCACTTCCAACACAAAAGGGACTGTTAATGCCAAGCACTTAGAGACCACAGTAAAGTATAGGATACTTTAAGAAAAGATACACAAAATGGTTCCAGGTGCCTGAAACACCTTGAAACTATGAACTCCAGTTAAAGAAAAGACACACTACTGCTGCCAGCATACAAAACACATTAAACACCATCTACAGAGATCTACAACTATACAACCCATGTCCTATGACTGCAGTGGAAATGGAGGTGTGCAGGCAGTTTTCAGGGAGCTCGGTCACTCAGGATGTTTGAGAAGTTTCTGTAAAGTTTTCACATACAGCTTCAGCTTACACAGAGATGAAAGCTCACAAACAGCAGTAAACAAACATCTTAGAGTTATTATTCCAACCCACGCTGTTACCCGCGGCAGAGGCAGACTGGACTGTGTCTGCTCTATCGGCATAAGTAATTACAGCTAGCTTAGATTACTGTGATCCCATGTTCCCATTTACAAGGATATTAAAAAATCCCTCCCTTTGATACTTTTACAGAAATGCCATCAACTCCTATTCTCCTCTCTGTAATGAAAGCCTGTCTGCCTTTTAGCAGCATGGTCTGTTACTGGCACAGACAGCCATCACAAGACACATCTCAAAGGAATCTCATCAAAACGTTCATTACTTACTTCAGCAGCATTCTGTCCCACAGAAGCAACACAAGACAACGCACTAACAGCTGACAGTGTAAGGCAATCTGCTGGTGCAGATCCCAACTCACTTTCTTGGGAACACTGGCTATTAAGTTCAGACCCAACATTTAACCTCAGGACTGTGACCCCTGCTACACTTGAAAGTAATAAAGTCTGCCTTACCTCTACATTTTCAGTGAGCCCATATTCAGAATGGGGATTTTCTGGAACCTGTAAAACGAACACATGGTCAGCAACGCACAACCGCTTATTTCACACACGTACTGACAACGCACGCCAAATGTTTCTTGCCGTACCTGCGGCTGTCCCTCCATGATCTGTTCTGCCTCCATGGTTTCCAACGTAGGATTTGCTGGATATACAGGAATCCTGGAAAGCAACAACACGAACCGGTCAGTAGGCTGAGATCGAGACGAGACAAGCGTAGCGTTTTCTTTCCCTTCCCTCTTCCGCTCGCGTGTCCGCTTTACAGTACCAGTACCCCGGGACCCCCTCCTGCTACACCGCACCGCTCTCACCCGCGTAGATTCCACTGCACGCTACTTCGCGACGGGACGGCAGAGCCTGCCCGTAGCAACCACAGCCACCGGCGCAGGTGTCGTAAATTGTTCGGACGTAAGTGAAACAGTCGCTCTGCAGCCGCCGCGCTCCGACAATCTGCGCTTGCGCAGAGTGAAGCCCCGCCCACCTCGCCCGTCTGTGCGAGGGGAAGCGGGACAACGGCGGCAGCGCCCACAGCAGTGACGTCACTTGGGCGGAGCCTATCGCGCCACAGCGCTGCTGTTGGCGGTCCGTTGGGCCGCGGGTTGCTTTGAGCGCCCGCTGCGAGGGCAGGTGGGTCGGGCAGCGTGGTTGCTGGGAGGTGCTCGGCATTAGGGCGAGCAGCTCTGAGGGTAGCATTAAGTTTTGCTATAATGTTATATCAGCTAGAAAAGGTTTCCTGACGGTACCTTCTATGCAGTGGCATTTGGTTTTGAGGTAGTTGCACCATTCTAATTCCTACGACTGCAGTGACTTGCCTGCCCCAGTTCCTGAGCCTTCTGCTGAAGTGCCGTGTTCTAACTCCTGTATTTTGAGTCCCTGATCTGCAGGCTGAGCTCTGCTTTTTCACAGAAAAGTCCCGTCAGGCAGACGAGTTGATGTAGCCATTGCCCACTCCTCAATGCAGGTCTCATGTCTTCACTGGTGCTCCTCGGGGCTTTTGCTGAGATGGATTGTCTCAGCCAACAGCAGAAAGCCATCTGTTGCTCTCATTTGGCTTGGCTTCCTTTGTTTGTCTACAGCTTTTATTTACAAAACACACACACACAAACTATTGCTTTTATGGCAGATTATCAATTAAAGTAGTTCATGGATAGGTCCAATGAATATTACAGCCAGCTTTAAATAGGAAGGCAATTAAATGGACTCACAGATGACTGAAATATTAGTCATAATAGTGAACTGAGTTTTTTAGGTTCTCACTAGAAGCATTATCACAATTTCTGACACGTCTACTTCTTGAACTGTGCTTTGGCTTAAAAAATGATTCCCTTAGCAGGTGCACTATTTAGCAGTATGTAGTTCTACATACCATGACAAAGTCATGCCTTACGGAGTTTACATTCTCAATGTTTTTAATGACAGTAGCTGAAGAGACTGAGTCATCAGGATTGTTGGAGACTCACTGTCCACACATTCTTCCCCTTGCCATTCAAGCTGTCCTTCAGTTTGTTAATAATTTATTCACTGACTGACTCTCCTATTATTTTGCATAGGAACAGGATGATGGTGTACATAACAGATGGGCAGTAGAGATGGTACATGGGTAGTCTGTCACATGGCTTATTATACATGACTTCTTTGTGTACTACGTAATATTAACGCTGCTTGAAGTTTCTAGAAGCTTGTTGGTATTCCAGAACCTCTGTCAAATTTTTAGGTAATTCAGCTTGTTAATGTATAGTTCAACTCATAATTTCAGTTTAACAAAATAAGAAGTGGGGTTTTTTTAGTTTGTTAAGCACATCATTTTTCTTAACAAAGAAAAAAATACTTAATGAACATTACTGCATTTTTTGGGTGCTGATAGGTTACTACCTCCATCTAATAAGCATCCTAGGCCACAAATATGTATTTTGTTGTATATTATTATATAATTCATTCTGTAGTTTAGACATCAATAAAAACTAATACTCTTTATTAAAATACAATAACTCATTTATTTATTTAAAAAAATATGCATTACCAGGGCAAATTTCGTTACTAAAAATACCTGCATGTGGTATAAACAAGCAATGAATAAATAACTTCATTCATTTTTCATGTATTTCTATACTGTGGGGACAGTGTAGATTACTGTGTACAGTGCTGTTGTGTAGTAGACAGATGGTCAGTCGTGATGCAGAATCACTGCCTCTCCGTGTTGTATGTGTGTAAGATGTGATGGGGTTGGGATTGGAGCAGAAGAAAGGATGTGTGATGGCATTGCATGCGCCAGATGCAGATGCGCAAGCAAAAGGTGGCGATTATGGCTGTCTGCCCTGGATGCCAGCCAGACTCGTTGTGCCAAAGCACTTGGAGGACTTAAGGTAACAAAGGCACTAAGCAGCTGGGGGATATGTCTCAGTGGGAAAGACCCATCAGGCAATAAATATTGCCGTTGCTAAATAATTGATAAGGCTGACTGGACCAGCGGGGCATTCATCCTCGCAACGAGAGTAGAAGGCGTTGAGGTTTATTCCCAGAATGACGTATCTGTGCTTGATGTCCGCGCTCAGCTCCATTACTCCTCCCCGGGACTATATTTCCCAGCGTGCATCGCGGCCTACGTCTCCCGCGGGACCGCACGCAGCGCCGCGTCGCGCCGAGCGCGTTGTGCCCGCCCCGCTCCCACCCCGCGCCGCCCTCCGCGAGCTGCAGGAGCCCCGCGGCGCCGACCCCGCCTCCTATTGTCGCTGCGGCTGCTGCGCCTCAACAATAGCGGCGCTGGGAGCGCTGCGCCTGACCGCTGTCAGCGCTCCTCCCCCGGGGTCGAGTGAAAGGGGCGTCGCTCGCTGCCGCCATGGCTGGTTGTTGTCAGTCGCTGGCAGCGGGTTATGGCGACGGCGGTGAATGAATTCTCCGGGAGGCAGAGGGAAGAAGAAGGGCTCAGCCGGCTCCAGCTCCGCGCCTCCCGCCGCCGGGGCCTTCCCCTCCGCGCCGTCCGGGCCGGCTTCCCCCGCGCCGCCGGCGGGGGCGGCAGCGGCGGCAGCGGCGTCCCCGCACAAGCGGAACCTGTACTACTTCTCGTACCCGCTGTTCGCTGCCTTCGCCCTGCTCCGCTTCGTCGCCTTCCAGCTCGGGCTGCTGGTCGCCTGGCTCTGCGAGCGTCTCTCCCGCGGCGCACTCATGGCCGCCAAGAGCAGCAGGGCCGGCGATGCGCCCGAGCCCGGCGGGGCGGCCGAGCGGGTGCGGGCGTGCCACAAACGGGCCTTCGAGTGCATCTCCATGGCGCTGCGCATCGACGAGGACGAGACAGGTAGGGGCGGCGACGGTGCCCGCGGCCGCTGTGCGTCCCGACCGATGCGGGGCTGCGGGTCGGGAGCGGCTCTGAGGAAGGGCGGTCCCGTAACCTTAATTACGGCCTTCGGTTCGTAACTGTGGGGGTGCGGGTGGAGCTGGCTCCCGGTTTAACCCGGCCGCCTGGGCCGGCGAGGTGGGTGCAGCCCTCCAAGTACTGCTGAGGAGCGGTGGGCGCGTTGAAGACTCGTTCCGACAAACAGGTGCCATAAGCGGCCCATTCGGAGTCACTAGGAAAAGGCTCGTGCTTGGGCAACTGCTGGTCTGCTTTTATTTCTTCGTTTGACAGGCTTTCTCTGGTTTAAAAAAAAAAAAACAAAAACAAAACAACACTTCACAGTGTGACTGATAGGTGGGCTTCAGGAAGATGAATGCAGATATGAGGGTGCTGCACCTGTCTTTTGTGCTTGTTTTTGTCTGGAAGGGTAAAACAACCCAACCAAGTCACGGTTCTGCTTGTGTTTTTGATTTTAGCTACATGAGTAACAGAATCACAGAATGGTTTGGGTTGGGAGGGATCTCGAAGCCCACCAGTCCCAGCCACCTGCCATGGCAGAGCTGCCCCCCACCAGCTCAGGCTGCCCAGGGTCCATCTAATCTTGCCCTGTATGCCTCTAGGGATGGGGTGCCCCCAGCTTCTCCAGGCAGCTGTGCCGGGGCCTTACTGCCCTCTCAGCAAAGATTTTTCCCTTTGACATCTAACCTAAATCTCCCCTGTTTTCATTTAAAGCCATTCTCCCTTATTCTACCCCTTTCTACCCACGTAAATGGTTGATTTTCCCTCCTGCTTTATAAGCTCCTTTTAGTACCAGAAGGTCACCTTCCATCAGGTGAGCCTTCACTTCCATCCGCTGAGCCTTCACTTCTCCGGCCTGAATGTTTGGCTTAACTGCAGCAGCACAACTGTCAGCACCCAGAGGCAGCCCTGCTGGTTGTGCATGTTCTAAAACCGTTAGGGAATGTCAACAGACCTCACTCTACCCTTTTGACTGGGTTGTCAGTGCAGCATGCTAAAGAAGCAGTAACACTGAAACCCTTGTAGTAGGCCTCTGCTGGAAGTGGCCTGCTGAGCACACCGTCTGAGCTCCGTTACACTGAGGGCTTGGGAGTGGCAGCATTAAGCTCTGGGGAAAGGAAAGCGCTGTGAGTGCATTGAGGTCAGTTCAGAACAGATGCAAGGAGCTCAGTGGTGCTGATGGCAGCTCTGTGCAGTGGCCAAGGCTGAATTGCTGATATAAGACGCAGCTATGGAACAGGTGGCTTGCTGACTGGGAGGGGGAACCTGCAGATCTTCATTTGTCATTGACTTGTTTTATAGGTATTCTTAGAGTTATCATATTTGAGTTAGTTGCACAAGGTGTATACTTTACAGCCAATACAGCAATCACAATTGCATTAGTTGTATCATTGAGAAGGAGCTCGGTTTGCTTTAATGCACAGATTGACTGCTCATCTGTTTTGCTCATACCACTGTTGTATGTTGTATCTTCTAACTTGTTTGTTATTTGAATAGCTTTTTGTAACTTTCAGTAAAAACTGTGTTAGGTGTAGTACATGAAATGGTTGGAATTTCTGGTTTAGTGAATGTTGTGTCAGTTATGTGGAGTTTTTGCTGTTCTGGAAGCTCAGTAATTATGATATCACTTCAGATAGTTTTTGTGCTTGTATATTTTTTGGGAAATCAGTGTTAATGTTTTGGCATTTTCAAACTCCAGCTCAGTGCCCTGTATTTCTCTGGGCAATTCCCCCCTCCCCAGAAAGAATGGTGTGGTGGCTGCCAGCCAGTGGAAAAGGGTGGGTAGGGAGCAAGAGGGGTAGAAGTGAGAACTTGTGGGCAGAGAATGCAAGGAGTGAGGGGGAGGGGAACACATGGCAGAAAGGCACTCCCTTGGTAACTCCCCACAAGCAGACTTATACCCAGCCAGGTTCTGAGCAATGCAAGCCAGCCCCCCCCACGCACATACACCTGCCCTATTCTTCCTCTAAGTTTTTGTTTCTGGGCGTGATGTTACACAGTATGCAGTATTTCTTTGGCCAGTTTGAGTTAATTGTCCTGTTCTCACTCCAGCTTTATCTCTGGGGGAGTGGAGTGAGCAGAAGAAATCTTTGAGGCTGTGCAAGTGTTGCTCAGTGACAGTCAGAATGAACAGGTGTCTTGTCAAGACTTCAGTCACAGATCAAAACGCAGCAGTGCAGGCTACTGTGAAGACTATCTCATTACAGTGAATCAGTGACTTCTGATGAATGTGGCTTTTTTCATGCCTTAGCCCCTGGGAATGTGTAAGTGGTTCTGCGTGGGCGCAGTGCTGCCCTTGCAAGCAGCTGGGTTGGTGCTCTGCTTTCAGAGCTTCCTGCTGTTGGAAGGTGGAGGTGAGATATAATGATGTGCTTGGCACGCCTGGGACTGCTCCTCAAAGGAGCAAAGTGACTCAAGCAGTAGTAAAGGTGGCTGGAATCACTTCATGTTTCTTTTCTAATGGTTTTAAGCAGCTTTAAACTTGCACTGCAGTTGACACTTTTTCTGTAGGTGAGAAGGAAAAATGTAAAGAAAGGAGGCTGCAGGAGAGATGGTAGCCACACAGCTTTTTTATTTCACTTTCATAGCTTTTCTTAACAGTCAGGGTGTGTGAGACTGGTGGAAAACAAGCAGAAATGATTCCCAAGGTGTGCAATGCATGCAGCTGTAGAAAGGTGCTGCTCCTGCTTTCTGTGTTGGTAAGGAGGGTGAAGTATGTGGTTAGCTGCACAAGAAAAGCTGCCGAAAGTTAATAAAAGATAATAATCTGGACAGGGAGGAGGAGTCATCTTAAGGTTTTTCTCTTGAAATGTATTGAAATATTTTCCTGGCACTGAAATTTTGTAGAAAATACACCTGGGACTGAAGTTATAGAAAGGTCTGAATAAAGAGGCAACACATTCACCACTAGCTGGCACTTATGAATACTTTTGTTATCTCTTCTGAAACCAAGGTCATAATATCTGAAGACTTCATTCTAGGTATTTCTTGTTCTTCTAGCGCTAGGGGCTTCTTAGTGCTCATCAGCACTAAGAACGTAAGTCTATATTCCTTGCTGGAAAAGTATGTTTTGTTATGGCACTGCTAACTTGAAAAAGCATCTGTCAGTATGCAGCAAGATAGCTTTTGACCACAGGATATCTATAGGAAGGGAGGAATTACGCAGATCTGAGTTACTTTCAATAGATCATTTGTTTTCATGGTGCTGGATAAAACGGGCAAGGGTGTAGGCATGCGGATGGACTTGTTCTTTTCAAGGCTGTGTATTTTACTTCATGTACGAGTTGACATACACCCGCAGTACAGCAATTTCATGATAGAGTGGAAAAAAACCCAAATATACCCATGGCGAATGAACTGCTCTGGGCAAAACTGAACCAGAAGTATCTGATATCATGTGGGTAGTACCTCAGGCTCATTACTTTTCTTCTTGAATTTCAATACTTCTAGTGTTACTTTGGTATTAGGTGTCCCTGGAAGATTAACATGCATGTCTTGTTTTGATGTTTCAGAAGGGAAACAAATCCACACTTCACCATTTCTGTTGTGGTTCTATTTCTGTGTCGGCTTTTTCTTTCTCTTCCTCCCCGCAGGGAGAGCAATCTCGTTAAGCTACTTGAGGTATTTTCTAAAACGGGCAAAAGTGATTTGAGGCTGGTGTGATACCTGTTGTTAATAGAGAAGCTCATTTGGAACTAGAAGTAGATATGAAGTTGACGGTGTCCCTTTAAGTGTTTCCTACAATTTTGTCCAAGTAAATCTTCCTTCACTTTGCTTGTTTTGTGGCATTATATGGAAGCATTCCTGAGCTTTAATCCGTTACATAAAATAATGGGTTCACTTCCTTTTTAAGCAGGACAAAAGGAACAAGCTGTTGAATGGTATAAGAAAGGAATTGAAGAACTGGAAAGAGGAATAGCTGTCTTAGTTGTTGGTCAAGGTAAGCCAGTTTTGAGTCTTGTGAAAAAGATTTGCTTTATTGATCAGTACTGCTTTATGGCTTCCTCAAAAATGAGATATAATTGCTAAATGTGGTAGGTGCTAGGAATGGTTTGCTGTTTCTCATTCTTGTTTAAGCTGTGAGTGAGCACTGGTCCATTTCTCTGTTCTGCCTTAATGTTCTGTCTGTAATGGAACTCTTGCTTCAGGTATTACAAAACAATCAGTTCATCTAAGAAAAAAAAGTTATGAGTCAAATGCTCAAGTTCTTAATATTTTGGCAATTCCTTTGTGTGTTTTGATTTGGTTTGCCAAAGCTGGCAATCTTGAATTAGTTCGTTTTCTCACTTATTCAGAATTTTGTAATCTCTGCAGTATAAACAAGGAAGAAACAGTAAAAGCCTCACTGATTTGGATTGGTCTAAAATTGTCTTTCTAGATAGCTTATGTCAAAATATCTGAGCACTTCCAACAAAGGAAGTAAGCTATCTGTGTTTATAGAAGCATCTTGAGCTGTAGCATAGGAGCCTATATGTAACACAGAGAAATAGTTGTAGGGAAAGGTTAACTAAAGATCTCTGTCCTCAAAATAATTTAAAAACAAACAAAAAAACCTCCAGGGCTGCTTTAGCAGACTGCTGGTTTGTTCCTCAGATGTGTTCAGAAATGTTTGTGAACAGTGTATGCTGATGTTTTACCTATGCAGCATCACCATTGGCATTTGATACAGCCTAAATTGTGTAGTTAAAAAAAAAAGTTCAGCTTGAACAGATCTTATTTTAAATAAGTAGTAATATAAATATCTGTAACTCTGAGTACTTTGAAATGTAAAGGGACACAGTCAACTGAATTTAAATCTCTTCATATTATCATAATAGTGATTTTAAATTGTATTTGCCTCTCAGTCACTTCTCAAGCTTCTTAAAAACCTATTTTATTTGACTCTTTTTTTAAGAAAAATGTGGTGGAAAGGAGTGTGTGTTAGTTCAGTGTGAGATGTAAGAGAATAGATGTCCACCTCTCTATGAGTAGTATTGTGAAACATTGCAGCAACAAACTTGAAAATCTTGATTAAATAGGAAACTTCATTAGTTATTTCTTAGTGGAGGGGGCAGCTAAGGAGTGGGAGGAAGAAGATGGATGGCTGGATGTTAGTGTTTTAGCAGTTTAAAAAGTTAATTTGCCAAGTTTTAACATTGATTTTTCTTTGTAAGGTGATCAGTGTGATCGGGCTCGACGTCTGCAGTCTAAAATGATGACAAATTTGGCAATGGCCAAGGATCGCTTGCAGCTTTTAGGTACCAGTTAAAATTCATGACTTTGGAAAGTTTCTCGTTATTTGCACAACTTGATGGAATCCATTTTTCCAAAATGTCTTTGTGATATTTATGGTGAAGGAGTCATTGTCTGTAGGATCTCCAAACTAAGTAATGTTTTTCAGTGCTGTTGAGTTCGAAATTTCCTCCCCTTAAACTAGGTGAAAAAGTTATTGAGAAGTCTTCGTAGCTTAGCATTCCGAACTTGTAAACTGGGGAAGTGTTGTCGATGTTGGAGTTGGTTTAGGGCTTCTGTATAAGAACTGTAGTAAAACTTGTGATGTGTTGCTGGTCACAATCAGCACTAATAGTGCACCTTCTGTAAGTGCAACTTTTTCCTGAAATTTTGCTGTCACAAAAAATTCTGATTATTGGTACGTACTATAGTAATAATTCCTTAGTATTATGAAGATCATAAGTTTGTGAAATACTTATTCTTGTAATCTTTATCTGTTAGTGTTCTATTTTAAGTCTAGTAGGTAAGATCACTTCTTTTTGGAAGGATGATATTGCACAATTTTGGCTTTATTAAAATTGAGTTTCTTGTATAAGCTGTTAATGGTCAGAGTAAACAGGGAGGGTTGGAAATGGCATCTTACTGTGCATGGTATAAAGTCAAAAGCCTACAAGTGCACAGATTTTTGTGGTGTATCCTCCAACCTGAGAATTTTGGAAATGTGTTCAGTCAATGAAGTGGAAATAAGGATATTTAGTGTTCTTTTAGGGAGAACTAACAAATGAATGTACTTGGGCTTAACTTGCATGTCTGTAGCTTTCATCTTGCACTGTGGTGTTTCCAGTTCCATTAACTCGCTCTCCTAGGAGCATGTAGAGCAGCTGGAAAACTGATGTTCTTTCTTCCGCTTGTGCTTTCTGATTCTGTCATTGTAAATGGTGACTGGTGGGGATGTTATGGCAGCCACAAGGAAGTGAATTCTTTTTGTTCCCCTCCTCTTCCAGGTGTCCTCTAACCCTTTTTCTCAAAATGTGGAGGGAATATGTAGTCAAGGTTCCAGCTTCTTTGCTTTGCTGTAGGCTTTTATCTGTAGAACCTTCGTATGTCCAAGAAAGTGGCTACGTTATTTTGTTGGGTTTTTCTTACACTCAGATGAGGTCAAGCTGGTATCTTCATCTTTTCTACCGTAATGTGTGATCATGTGATATTTGGATTCTTCATTGAGAGGGTAGGTTGAGAGGTAAATGGGTAGAATAGTGTTTACTGCCTAAGTTGGTGTCAAATATGTATTTTTGAAATTATCCCAAGCTTAGTACTTCAACTTAGTGCAAACTGAACATGAGTCTCAGTCTGCTTCCAACAATATGTGTGAGAATAAAGCTTAGGAAGGAGCAAGTGAAGTCATTTGCCCTCTGTGAAGGAAAAAATGTTGTTTTGAGAGGTTTTCCAGCTGCATTACATCCTACAAGCTTCATCATTCTGGATCTATTTAAGGAATATTTGTTATAACATTTAACCTGCTTTCAAGTATTTTAAAGCTTCTTTTAAATTACATGTCATTTTACCTGGACTTGGTGGTAATTTAAGGTAATATAGAGTTGAATTATATGTGTTATTTCTAAATGTAGCTTGTTACTTTTAGTAACAGATATCTGGAAGTTTTCTGATGGCTTGTTGATGCTTTTGTAACTGAACTGAACCTGAGGCTGTTGGAGCTGTTAGGATTCAGTGAGGTTATTTGTCCATGAATTGAGCTCTGAAGGTCAAGGAGTAAACTCTTTTTTTCTTGCCCTTAGGAGTTTTCTCTATTTCTTAATGGTACTTTATTGCATTAGCTAGCAAGATAAAACAGGCTTAAAGTAGACAAAAATATCAAATATTTTGTTCTGTTTGACAGGCAAAGATGCAAATGCAGATTGCTAAACAGAAATTTTATTCAGTCAAAGTGATGCCAGTAATATAACTCGATTTTTGCTTTCTATACTTGGGTTTTAACTGTCACTTAGAAGTACTCAGTGTTTGTCTTTCAAAGTGTTGGGTCATCAGTGAAAGGTGAAGGTGATGGCATCGGTCTTTTAACATTTGAACAAGAAGATGTAGCTACTTACATGTTTTGATCCCTGTTGCATCTGGAGTGTAAATTACTGTATTGAATTCTGTTTAAAGTTTTATTGTGACACAGTTTGGAAGCTGAAGTTATGCCAGGTATGCTTTGGAGAACCTCAAGGTGACTCAGTCTTTTAGCCAGCAGAATTGGGTATTGCCGTTGGTCTGCCCATCAGGTGGCAATCAAATTTGACCACTTGGTGTTGGTGGATGTGCCCTTTTTTGATAGGGATTTGGTGCGCTGTGGTTTAGGAAATGTTAGCTGTGCAGCTGCTAAGGTGAGTGGATAAATCCTGCTCTGGTAATCTTCACAGACCAGGTCTCTCCAGGATGGCTGATTACTCAAGTTAGGATCATTATATTTGATACATTTAAGAGTCACAGGAGGTTATTTGTTTTCTACAATCAATACATAAAACTTGTCATTTTTCTGTTGCAAAAAATGGGTAACTGCAATGTCTGCACAATGCAAGTCAGTTCTAATGCTGGAAGTGCTTAGTAAGAATATGTGTTCTCCCATTTTGGGGAGATTTTCTATTTGGGGACAGGTTGTCAGCACAAGTGTATTTCTGGATACTATGTGTGGAATAATTTATTTTGGTTGAAAGAAGGTGTATATGGCACATAATTTAGATACTTTTCATCAGTCTCCTATCTGGTAATAATTCTGGCCAGGTAAGGACATGAACTTTAAGAGACATGTTTTGTGACAACCCTGCTTTTTTGGAGATGATGGTGCTTTTGCTTTGGGGTTGTGTTATGTGATAAGTGATTTCCAGTAAAAGAAAACATTACTTGGAATGCTACACAGATAAAAGGACAGCTGCTGCGGTGTTTATTTGGTAGGTTTATGCCAATGTTGTACCATTAGGGAGAAATAATGAGATTCTATGAACTGTTGTCAGCCTTTCCAATTTCTAGGAAGAAAACATTAAAATGAACAGTGATAGAGACCTCTGAATTCCCTGAGATAATATTTAATAGCTCGATTTATTTTTTTTCTTTATTCTGGAGGTCTCTGCAGCTATTCTGCCTTTGAAGAAAAGTGATATGATTGCATTATATAATTTTATGTGCTATATTCAAATGGCATGTTAATATGTAGCACGCTGGGAGGAATTGTGTGAATTGAAGGTGGACAGCAGTTGGGTTGCTTGATGGTTGTTGCAATTCTGGAGTTCCTGAAGACATGAAACTGTTCTGGAAGTGTAGCAGATGATAAGTATGGTAAAACCCCAGTCTGAAACTGTAGTATTGAAGCAAATAGGGCTTCCTGAATTCCTGCCCAAGCCAGTTGGTTTTATACTTACTAGAGGCTTTTTTGTGTGTGTGTTTTGTGAAGCTGAGAAATATTATCCAAAACTTAACTGCTTATCTAGTATCTTGCCATGTCTTTAAATACTAATTTTGTTTCCCAAAACTTTGTATGTGCTTCCCACTTAGAGTGCGTCGTTGGGAAGGGAATAAACTATTCTGCCTTCTCCTTCAGTTGTGCTGTGCCCCCTGTGTTTACAGTCAGTCATGCTTAGGGAGCTTTTCTGAGAAATGAAGTTTCAGTGCATGTGCTGGTTGGCAGCTGTTCTTGTGCAGCCAGCATTCTTGCTTTTACTCTACCCAACTTTTGAATGCTTTCAGCTTGCAACATAATAAACACTGGGTGCATGTGCTAATCTGAACTTTATATTTTCACACTTTCCTACGATTACTGACCTTTCACTCTATACTGCATCTCATTCAGTTTGGATGTTATTCTACGGATGTTAACACTTTACATCTTTGCACTCAATAGTATTAAAGATACTTCTTGGGGAAGCTAGGGTGTAAGTGACTGTGAGCAGGTAAAGAAGAAAAAAGTGGGAAAAGAACTGTAATAGATGAAGTGAAATTTAGGAAATGATTTTGCTTATTGATTATATGATCTGCAAGCTCTGAATGGTGATTCTCCCCCACTCGTCCAGCATGAGTGTTTTCAGTAGAATTCAGCTTCTTTTGTATTAAGTTCCTATATGTTGCCAGAAGACCTCTATCCTCTGCTTAGCTGCCTGTTTTCCTGCAGCTTCTTTGTGATGTGTGCCTTGCAGTCTCAATGATGGTTGTTTGCTTTTTTGAAAAGGGGGAGTTGAGTGCAAGATAGAGGTGGGAGGGCTTGTAAAGGGGCTGTAAAGTGAGAGCAGTGATAAAAGCAGTATTGGTGAGCTGCACTGAATTAATGATCCTGAGACATAATTCTTGATTAGTGCAGGCTGTAGCCTTGCACCTCTTTGCTTTGTGCTTTGGATACTTTATTGTGACTGGGAGTTCTTTTCTTTCTCCTTAATCTTTAATCTCATAAATCTTGTATTTGGCTATTTCTGAAATTAATACTCTTTGGGAACTCAGCTTGCATGACAATTTTATTGACTTTCAGGGCAACCATAATTATAAATCTTGAAGACATTTGAATGATATCTGTGTGGTGTTTTCCTTGAATCAGTGAAGATTTTGTAAAACAGTGGATATTACTAATTAAGCAAAACATTTAATATGCAGAAATTTGAAGACTCCTTGCAGTTGGTCAAAAGTAAGGCCTTGGGGAGGACTTGTGGAAATGGGTTATCAGCACAAATCTTAGTAGATGGAATTAAATTAATCCTGACCACTGCTTTTGGCAAGTAACTGCAATCACTAAACTGTAAAGATTGCTGTAATGAACTCAGCCAGAAGCGGCTAGTTTTTAAGCGGTTCTCAGTCACGTGTGCACTGACAGCATTTTCTTACTAGCTTGCTAACTGTGTAGAATAGATAGAAATACTCCTTTTATTTTTAACCCGATATTGAATATAACAAAGCCAAAGTTGACATTTGTGTGTTCAACATACATGAGTTTTCTTGGTTCATTTTTGTTTTTTTTGTTTGTTTGTTTTGTCCTTTTTTCTCCCTCTCCCTCTTTCTACTGTGTAGAGAAGCTGCAGGCAGATTTGCAAATTTCCAAGCCGCAAATGGAGGTCTATAATGACAGTACTAACCTGGCATGCCGCAATGGACATCTCCAGTCAGGTGGGTTTGGCTTTACCAGCACCTAACTATTCAGGGGATATTTTCCAGTTTCTGGTGTGTTACAAGGAAAATAATATGCAATGCTATGTTCTGGCCCCTCAACCCTTTTAAAAACCCATTCCATATTTCTGTCTGAAGACTACTTGAATACATCTCATTCTATCAGTGTCTGTGACAAACTCGTTTTATTTTGTAATGCGCAGTTCTGTCTTTAAAATGACTGTCCTTGCATCCTCTTCATTAAATCAAGTATTAGAATCTGAGACTACTTACGAACGCTGCATTTCAGAAAATAAATTTTGGTGTTGTATACCTAATAGCATTAAACCTGTTTTAGAAAGTGTTAAAAAATAAATGTAGATTATATATTGTGCCTATATAAGCAGCTCTTTGGTTAGAGTATAGTACAAATTAATGTACATTTGCATTAAGTTCCTTTTAAAATATAGGGATTTATAATCTGCAAAGGCAATAAGCAGTTAAGATGGGAAGGGGGAGAGATGAGGGGACAGCTGTGTTTTTTGTCATAGAAGGATGGTTTTATCCTTTGCCAGAAGACTGCACTAGGAACACTAAGCTCTCGGAAGCAAACGTGTAGAATAGAGTTGCTGTGAGGTTTGTGAATTGTCTTCAAGGAATGTGTTAAAACAGCAGTCATAATCATGATTGTCATAATCATGATCTCAAATGAAAATTTATACAGTAGTGATGAGGTTGAGTAAAATAGTGAGCTGAGAAGCAATAGAAATCACAAGGCTTGCCTGCTGAGGAGCAGCATTCAGGTTTTTAGGGTAATTAAGCTTAATCATGTGGTTTACAATAAGTTTTGGTTTTTTTTATTCCATTTCTGGCTTTGAAGTCTTTTTCCAGCTTGTCTTTGTACGTTCTTATGTATGAGGAGTTGAATTAGTAAAACTGTTTTGTTCAGCACCTCTGGACTAGAGAGAGCATGTGGTGTTTTTGTTAAAATGGCATTTGTCAAGAAAGATTTAGCAAAAATGGCTCTCAGGTATAATTTCTTACTTAAATAGAATTTGAGAACACGTTATCTTAAATGATCCAGTATGTCTGGATTTTTTAGCTGACTGGCAGAAGATTGAATGAATGAATGCATACACGTGTGCATCCACATGAGAGTAGATAGCAAGTTCCATCTGATTCAGTATTAACAGTTTTTTTTCTTAAAACCCATTCCTTTGTTTTTGTACCTTTTTGTCAACATCTCAAAATTGTATGGTGCAGGAGAAGAAGGTTAGCCTGAGCTTTCTTTCCTGTTAAGACTGTTACTTCTGTTAATTAAATGTTAGTACAACAGCATTGGTGCCTCCTGGAGAGAAAGAAACCTTTTGCCTGGTCTGTGACAGGTGTCTTTATTTACAGGAGTTTCTGTAACAGAATTGTTCTGCAGCAGTCATTGCTGGTAAGCATATGGAAAGTGATAACAGTGAATTTACTCATGTGGTAACATACTTAGGTGATTTATGGAAGTTGCATGAGTGAAACACTAGTTCAGAACTGTTCTACAAGGAGCAGAGAAGCAGCTGTGAATGGCCCTGTGAAGGGCATTTTCTGTTTTTGTTTTGTGTGTCTCTTACACTGTTTGAAAAGATTCCCATTCCTCCAAGGCTGCTGCTGGGGTTGGAGAAGCTGGAGGCTGTGTCAGATTGGGTGCAGAGGAAGCCTTCTGACAGAACTTCACTCACAGGGAAACTTGCATTTACTCAACTCTGTGACAGCTGAGATGAGACAGAAGGAGGAAAGAACACACATTGAAATAGTTAGGTACCAAATATCTGCTGACTGATTATATTGAGCAAGGCTTCTAAAGGCTTGCTCCATCTCCATTTACCTTGTAAAAGATGCATTTCATGTTCAAAATACGTACGAATCAGGGATTTACCCAAAGTACTGAACCTCTTCTGCCATTCTGGATCCCTGGAAGAGCCTCAGAAGTCAGCCTGTCAGTAGCTGTTGTGGCCATTCCCTAGTAGACTGTATGTGCTCTGTCTCCTTAGTCTTGTTCAAGAGAATGTGTTGCTACTGCAACTCATTTTGAACTACCTTATCAATTCTGCTTCAGTCTGTTGATCATCTTGCCTCTGTGCTTTCTTAGCACATTGGAATGAAGTTAGTATTTTCAGTGACAGCAGTACTGGAAAGAATTAAAGTACGTGAATAAAGCAAAACAGCCAGCTACTTGGAGATAGGAGGGCTGCTATTGTTGAACAAGCAGAGGTACAGAGCCTACAGGGTTTGGATGTAAGCTTTGTTTTTTTGTACCTGCATAAAGTATTACCTGTGCTCTTCCTTAATTAGGCTGTGCTTCTTCTGAGTGCAGGATTTCATTAGGTGTGATGTACGGTCAATCACATATTTAATGTCAAGAAAGGGCTGTTTAGCAAAGGAGTTGAGATGTAAGACATGTTCTTTTCTATTTAACTCCTAAGGTGTTTAAAGACTTCATTTGTATCTTAATTCTACTTGATATTATCTTCTTATGTTTATAGTGCACAATTCTTATATTTCCAAACTGGTACTGATTTGAGATTCTTGCTTCTTTCTAAGTGCTGTTTGTATGGATTCTAGATGGACATACTTGATTCTACCACAGGTGTCTGTGAAAAATTTGTTACACTTGTTTTCTAACTTACCAGAACAGCTGGGGATTCTTCTTGAAAATGTGTGTGATGAGAGTTTTGTGAAACCTCATTGTAGCAGTATATAGCCCTCCACTTGCAGGAGACTGCCCAGTTGCTTGTCTTAAGAGTCAGCCTTCATGCAAAACTTTTTGTCCATCCCTCTTGTTCTCATAGTGGTCTTTAATTAGATTTAAGAAGATTTAGCTGGATCTCTTTTTTTTTTTTTTTTTTTTTCCTTCAGATGTGTGTTCCTCTTTGTATTCTGGGTGGTAGGGTTGTTTCTCAGAGGTCACTGTCTTATCTCTAGATCCATGTCTGTGATGGGGGGCAGGAGCCCCACTGGCCCAGAAAGGGAGGAAAGGGAACGGAAAGGGGAAAGGACAGCAGCAATGGTCTGAGGAGGAAAACAAATTTTGTTTACTAATTATAATAGTGAAAACACAAGTTAATTGGGATTGAAACTAATAAATCAAATAAATAAAAGAATTTTCTGAAAACCGAAGTTCTTCCTCGATCTGCCAGGGAGCAGAAAGAGTCCTGTGACTTGCAGTCAGTTTTATCTTTCCCACTGACCAGAAAATGGAAATGGGGCAGTGGTGTCTTCTGGGAGCTATAGTATGTTTCTGTTTACCTGTCCCAGAAGAACTGTCAACCATCCATGGAACTGCAGGATGAACTCTTCAATTCCCAGTGCTCTGCATGATGTTACAGTGTGGAATACTAATAACAGAAATTGTAAAACCATGACATCAAGCTAGATGGGGAAGATTACTGATCTTGCAAAAGACAGCACAATATTGTTGTTATTAGAGTAACTCTAATATACCATTTTTACATTTGATCTGTTATTGGTCAGTGAGATATGCCTTCTCAAAGGCAATATATTTCTGGTTCTTAACATAATATTAGTACTGTATAAATAGCTTGTATTTTGTTTTCACTTCATAAGTTTTGCTTACATGTCTTTAATCGTAAGCATGGATTGGCAATATTCTCTGAGTTGCAAAAATTACATTCTTAAAAAAACCTTTATTATTATTAGGGAGGATCCCAAAATAGAAGAACAAATAGCAATAAGATTTTCTGACACCATAATTTGGCCATAGCAGCTGTTTGACTAACGTGGCTCTACTGGGAAAGCATCCTGCATTAACATAGTTGTGCTGGCATCCAGGATATGGAGCATGGGTATGGAGGTTCTTGTTAGCCACTGAAGTTTTCTGTTAATTGTCTTCTATTACTTGATTGTACGTAGTTGAAAAAATTGAGTATTATCTTTGAAGAAATTATTATTAGGGGGGACCACTGTGATTGTCAAATCTGAATACTTTTTCCTTACAATTGCTGTGTATATTTTGCAGAAAACGTATAGCTATGCATCTTAAAGACTTTTGTTTGTGTGACACTATGTAACATTTCTAGATCAGTGGATTTTTTTACAGTATTTATTATTATTTTGAATTTGAGGTCCAGAGGCTACATACAGTATGTTTTCTTAGTTAATTTATAAATAAATTCTTGATAATATATAAGCAAAGCCTCCTTGTGGAGGTGAAACTGAAGAACTATATTCAGAACTGTTTCTGCAGCACTTTGTGTTACCCAGTAGGACTGACCACAGAATGTCTGTAAGTTTAGTGGTTTTGATTTCTGAAGGTACAGGCAGTGTAAATAATAATTTGTGTTCTTAAACCTTTTCATGTTTGAAGTAACAAATTGTGATTTGTTCTAAATGTTTCTCTTTTCCATGTTTTGTGCTCCCTGTGTTTCCAGATTCCTGAAATAATCGTTACCCGTGCAATTTGTATGATGCTAAAAATTGCAGTGTGTATGTATTGCTCTTCATAGATGGGAAAGTTTTGGAAAAACGTGAGGATTGAGCAGCATGTTAGAGTGAAGGAGCTGGAGAAAAATTACTGTAGCTTCTTGAAACTGCCCCCTATTGACTTCAAAACCAGCTGTGCAAGTGAAGCTCAGAAAATAAAATTTGTGTCATCTTCTGATTAAATTGGAAAAGTTAAAATGAGTAGCATTTTTAACAGATTGATAAGCTGCTTTTTGAACTTGAGCTTTGAAGTATGCCTCACTCGAAGAGCTTTTGACTCGAAGTTATTGTGCAGGAATGACTAAGTGAAAACTCACTTAGTTCAGATCTGGATCTTTGTGTGATTTAGTCAGGAAGCATCTTACAGATACAGTTGACTATTCTTCAAGTTCTCTCGTATTTTGCATGTGCATTTTCCAGTACTGTATTCCCCCCACACAAGAAGACAGATGCTATGCCTGGATTTTCAGCAGTTAGCCTGACCAGTCTTTGTGCCTGCTTCTCACCTCTTAGTCTGTCTACATCTGTGTCTGATGTTCTACACCTGCCAGTTCTGAGCCAATGAACCCTCTTTCATCCTGTATCCCACAGAGAGAATGTAGAAATCAAGAGCTATTTGTTTACTCTAGACTGGAAATGTCTTTATTTAGAGTTTAATCACTTGTGGCCAAGATGTTAAGATGAGTTAAATCTGTCACCAGGTGCAAGACCTTTCTGCTCCATCATGGAGGTGAATTGGAGCAAGTGTAGATGAAATGATATTACACCACTGAATTGAAATATTTTAAGATTCAATTTGGACTATGGGAAACTGTTTCAGTGCTGTCCACACAGAATTTATTTACCCCTTGAGATTCCTGAAGTGGAACAAAGTTGTAAGCAAAAGGTTTTAAGAGTTTATTCCAGGTATAACTATTTAAGTTTTCCCAATTTAAAGTGTTTTGGTAAAGCTTCTGTGTGAGGAAAGTGCTAGACAGTGCCTGATAACATCACTTAAAGAATGAGTGCTCTGAATCTAATGGCTTGAAATTCCATGTCTTCTTGTGATGATTGTTTATAGAAGTTTCAGGGAAGGAAAGTATTCTGACTGATATTCTGTTGACTTCTGTCTTAGGAAATTGATGGTGCTTTTCCCTTGCATAGGGGACATAGAACTTAGGTGTCATCAACTTTTATAATATGGCAAGGTAGTGTTGATACTGAGAGCTCCTAAAAATTTGAAACTTAATTTTAGAGGAAAGCTATAGCTAATATCTCCTTAAAAGTGTTAAACCTCTTTATAAACTCCTGTTAATCTAATACAATACTGTATTATATGTCAACAATACTATCTTTAAATTAGGGTTCTTATTGAAGTTACAGTTGCTAAAAATGTTCCCGTGACATTTGGTTTTCTTTATAGAAAGTGGAGCAGTTCCAAAAAAGAAGGATCCCTTAACACACACAAGTAATTCCCTTCCACGTTCAAAAACAGTTGCAAAAACTGGATCCACAGGCCTTTCAGGCCACCATAGAACACCTAGCTACAGTGGGATATCAAGTGCTTCTGTGTCTAGACCAGCAACAAACCCTACAACTTCAACTCACAAGGTATGGTGACAACAGGTATAGTGGTGTTTGCTGTGGAGATCAATGTAAAATCCAGAATGAAATCTGCATTTGCTGCTTTTATTGCAGTGTTGTGGTATGATTGCAACAGGGTTTTGAGGAAAACAAATTAGAAAAAAACACCCACCAAGAACAACAAAAAAAACCACAACAAAACTAAGCAACAAACAAACAAAACAATCCAACATTTAAACTAAATCAAAAACATCAAACTTTTGGCTAAGCCTCTTAAACTGGACTGCAGAGTGAATTTTTGAAAGCGAGAGTCTTGGAGGGTCTCCAAAGTCTTGGAGAGCAAGGGGATTTTTGTTGTAACAAACTGTAATAACATGATAATACTTTGTTATGAAATTGCATGGGATGCTGAGGAAAACTGAGCTGGCATAAAAACAAACTATACTGACAGTATGTAAAAGACTTGGGGGGGAGCTTCTACTCCAGAACTGTAGATTTTATCCCTACATTTTCCTTCTCCTAAACATATATACTTGATTGTATTAAATCATAGAATGGCTTGGATTGGAAGGAACCTTAAAGATTCTGGTTCCATATTGCAACCAGTCTGAAAAGCAAATTATTTCTAAATTGTGATTGGAATACAAAAGTAAGTTCTGTACTATTAAGGCAGAAAAATGCTGTGTTTCTTTTGCAATATATCCTGCCTTTCCCTCCTTATTTTCTCACTTTGTCATGCTACTCCCACATAATAGAGTAGAACATATTATGACATATATGTTTAAGCATGACAGCACTAGTGTTTGTAGATATTTAGTACCTGTAACAGTGTAAAAGGTATCAAGGCATTTTATGTTCTTCTTCCTCTCTAGGCTGCTCCCAAAAATAGCAGAACAAATAAGCCTTCTACTCCTACCCCTGCTGCTCGAAAGAAGAAAGACATGAAAATATTTAGGAATGTGGACAGTAATCTTGCTAATCTTATCCTGAATGAAATTGTTGATAGGTAAGTTTGAAGAAAAGTAGGCTTTTTGCTGCAGAAAGCCAGTTTTTCATTCAAAAAATCTTTGTGCTCTCAGAATGAGAACTAGTAATACATGTTTGTTGTTTCCTTGTTACCTTAGCAAAACAAGGAATACTCATTTAAAAAAAATGCCTATTTCTTGAAATGTGTAGCAGTATAAGTTGTAGATTTTCTCGAAGTAGTTCTTCATGGTCGAATATGTTTAATTAGTCAGCTGCAGCTGAAAAAGAATCTCTCATTGTTAGACTAATTAGTATTCTGTTTCTTTGTTAGTGGGCCAGCTGTCAAATTTGATGATATCGCAGGGCAGGAACTGGCTAAACAAGCTTTGCAAGAAATTGTTATCCTTCCTTCTCTTAGACCTGAGGTAAGCAGTTTGGTGTTATCGCTGTGGCAGAGTCAAAGAAATGAATTGTGCTTCACACGTGAAGTGGGGATTCTGATACCCTGTCAGTGTTGAGTAAGATAGTTATCCGTAGCTATTTGATGACAGCCTTCCTGGGAGAAGTGTCTGCATGTTCATATGTGTTAGAATATTGTGATGAATTTTCACCTTTTGGTTAGTCAACATAGGTAGGATAAAGGGATTGAGGTGGGAGCCTGAAAATTAGTGAAACTGACTGTTGCAAATAGTTATAGCTATGTGTGGAGATGTAGAGGACAAAGCCCAGAACTGATAGAGTTAAGCAGAAACAAAATGCTTCTTGTAATGAAATAGAGGAAATGCATGTTGGTTGGCCATCCTACAGAAACTGGCAGCCATTTCTAATGATGGATATTATGGAAAAGAATGTCTATTGACAGTGGTCTTCAGACATGGTGCACATGTGAGTGACTCTGTAACCATTAATTTTGTTTGTTTATTGGAATTATTAGAAGGTAGAATTAAGGAGTAAGTCAGGACTAGAACTCTGAAACTTTTGAACCTGCTAAAATGTGACAACTACAACAGATGTATGCTGTGGGAAAGTGTCGATTTGCTTGCTGTCATAATAACTGAAGTAATTTTGTAGTGTAGGAAAAAATCCAATGCTGAGTGAGATGGAGGAGGTTATCAATGGTGTGTTGAGAGGGTAGGTGGAGATAGGTAATATTTTAAATAGTTTTCAGATCTCTAGGTTTTCCTTTAAAAAAAAAAAAAAATATTTCATATGTAGTTAATAGGAACACTGCTTTAACTCTCCTACAGTGCATGTGCTTGTGCACATACCCACGTTTTTAAATGGAAATTAATGCTTTAAACTTGATAAGCTGCTCTGTCTCAAAGAATGTTTCTTATGTTCATTTCATGGTATGTCTATACATGGAATGATTGTGGTGAAGTTTGACTGTTGTGTGAGCAAGTAGTGAGGTGCATTAGGGCAAGGCAGTAATGAAATGTAACTTCTCTAAAAATCTGTACAGTTGTAGCACTGTTACTGTTGCTCCCAGTCCTATCCAGTGAGCCATTCCTAAATTTTTAACCATTTTCTTGCAGAGGTAAATCATCATCACATCTTTTTTCCTGTCTTTCCCCTTCACCCTGCCCAAGATTGAATGGCTTGCTTTTCCTTTGTCATCACAGTTAGTTAAAAGCAGTGTGTTACTCTAGGAGCTAAATGGTGGCTGTGAATGCCGGCAAGACAATGAAACATCTTTTGGTGTTTAATAAAATTAAAGGGGGGGGGAGTGTAACAAACAATTCTCATTCAGAGTTTAAAGAAATTACTGTCTTGAGTCCATGTAATGATCTAACCAAGTGTATATTTACTGTTTGTAACACTTAACTTCTTTTTGAAATAAACTTATGATTATGTATTTTTCAAGTTATTTACAGGACTTAGAGCTCCTGCACGTGGATTGTTGCTCTTTGGCCCACCAGGAAATGGGAAGACAATGCTGGTGAGGAAAAATTCTGCATACTTGGGTTGGTGGGCTTCAAATGTAGCCATTGGGGTGGCTGGCATTCAGGTTTTCTGAACTTCCTTGGTTCTGTGTGGCCTCCTATGTTGCATTATTTTGTACTATTCTTAAAGCAGTACCTTTTGTGTAAGTTAATTAAATTCTGCTTTACTGGGAAGCTAATGGGTGTAATGTCACTGTTATGCTATCAGTGCAGTTGGAACTCGAACCAGAACTTCTCCAACTTTATGTGCAGTAGAAATGCAGTATGTGTACATGCATTAAATTTCCTGGACTTCTTTGGTATATTTTACTTTCTGAAAGATTTAAAACTCACTGCAACACTGGGGAGTTTTGTTGACATTGAAGGGCTTGGATTAAGATCACTGTGACTTACACCAGGGTGTTCCTGACTGGAGAGGAATGTTAGTGAGGTTGAAATGGTTGTGCTCAGTGGGTAGTAGAATAATATCCCTTAACTGGGTACTTCCAGATCCATAGTAGCAAAGGGTTTTTAATAATAAACATGAGTTTTGTAGTAACAAACAATACAATGACGTGGATAAGTCCTTGCAGTATTGCCTTAATATGGAAATGCAAAATGATTCATTTTGTGGGGAAGGCCGAACTGTTATCAACTGAATTCTCTTCAGTATCACAAGTAATATCTTAAACTAGCAAATCCAAGTTTTGTTTTCTGAGAGAGGAAAAGTAACATGGTTAATCGTTTGTATGCAGCAGCAATTAAAACACTCTGTTCTCTATCAAAATATACAAGAAATGCAGACAGTTTTTTGCACTGGAGAGGAAGCACAGTAGCAAGTTTTTTGCCTTCCATGCTATGTGAGAAACAACAATAGCTTGAGAGCTGCCTGGCACCTTCTTGTTTTATGATGTGCTGGGTTCAGGGAGCTGGAGAGATGGCTGTGCATCAGCCAGGGAACATTGTGACAGTGCAGCTGAGCTTGGCACGTCCTCCCTAATCACGTGGCGTGGTGCAGATGCACGCTGCCTTTGCTGATTATGAAGCTGGATCTCCTGTGAAGCCCTTAGTGGAAATACTGGGCACTTTTCTTGGGCTCTTCTGTTCTGTTCTACCTATTTGAATATAATTGCTAATCAATTTAAAAAAACAAACAATAAAGCAATACCACTCTCACTCCACTCGCACACAAAAAGCTTGTAAAACCAAGTAATAGTAACTTCTTGAATATGGTTATACTGTTAATGAAGAAGGTACTCTGAGTATGGTAAAAATGTAATTTTAAGGCGACTTGACTCTTGCTACTCTAAATTGCTTCTCTAAATGAGTTGAAATTGTTGTCAGTGCTTACTTAGGATACGCTAAAAGGAGCAGGAGACTGCTGCTCTTTGGTGAGCAAATTGTAGATGGCTGTGGAGATACTGTGATTAGAGAAGTATAAGAAAGTCTGGAAACTTCTGTAGTGGTTCTGTTGCTTCTCTGTTCTGATTTGTGTGTAAGTTGTCTTTAGCACTTGCATGGTATTCCCTCTGAAGGAGTAAGGATTTTCAAATCACTATGGAGAACATCAGTAATTGCTGCAGAAGTAAAGAGGCATCTTCAGTGTGACATTTTAAAAAACGTATTTTTTTCTGCCCTAGGCCAAAGCAGTTGCTGCAGAATCAAATGCTACTTTCTTCAATATCAGTGCTGCAAGCCTAACTTCAAAATACGTAAGTATTAGCTGTAAACTGCATTAATGAGAAAACACATGCCTGTGACTGGGGCTTATAAAGACCAGAACTTCTGATAACTCTTTAGTGAACTGGTTCCCTATAGTGAATATAAAGTCTTCAGAGACTTAACTTGACAAGTTAAGGGGGAAAAAAAAAAATTGTGCCTGTGATAAGACAATTTCACTGGATTTTTCCTGTTTAGAATGGCACTGACTGTGACGGAGATGAGTGGTATTTGTTTTCTCCTCCTTTAGAAAAAGTAGAGAAAGCTTTTATAACTTAAACACCAAAATCTCTGATGTCTTAATTGTGATCATAAGTTTGAACCTTCCTTTTAAAAGGGAAAGAACATGACTGTATGTAATACTGAACTAGTAATAATAATAGAGTACGTACCAGTGCATTGTATGACTTCATCAGCATTTTTTCCTGTAAGCTGTTATCTTAGGGGTCTTGTAATAAATGCTTTCTAAATTCCTTCCAAAAACAGTTTGTTATTGTTTCAGGTGGGTGAAGGTGAGAAATTGGTGCGTGCTCTATTTGCAGTAGCCAGAGAACTGCAGCCTTCTATAATTTTTATTGGTAAGACCTTAAATGTTATTGACCTTTTTTTACTCTTTTTAAACGTATTGACTTTCTAAATTTCAATTACCAGTCAGAATACTTTGGGTAATTCTATAGTATAGAGCATATGTCTTGATTATGACCTGCTGGCTAACCAGTAATTCCAAACACATGTTAATTGTTGTTACTGAGGTGCTAGTAGTGGGAATTGGTGCCATCAAAACCATAACAGGCTGTACAGTCTTCACAGAGAGAGTCCTTTTTGGTATTTAACTTCAAGCATGAAAACAGGTTTTGCTTGTTCTGAAGTACAGTTTATTATCCAGCAGGATTTTTTTTCTCATTTGTGTGTGGTATGAAATGTTTAAATAGCAACACACAGCATGGTGAACCTAGTTAGAAAAATAAACAAGCTTTTGAGCTTACACATTAAAGATAAAAGATCTGTCTGTCTCTTAAGGAGGAAAAAATACTTGATCTTCCTTGCTGGAGTCTATGTTAGTAAAAGAATTTAAGCAAACATGAAGACTTTAATGTATGTTAAACTAAGGCATATTTCCTTTTTTTTATTTCTTTTTTAGATGAAGTTGATAGCCTTTTGTGTGAAAGACGAGAAGGTGAACATGATGCTAGCAGGCGTCTAAAAACAGAATTCTTAATAGAATTTGATGGTGTAAGTATCTAGCCTAAGTATTGCATGATTTTAGGTGAGTTGGCTAATGTCATGGTGCCAGTACAAGCTGCAGATGAAACACGAATAGGATTTGGCTGCTAGGACTTACCTTGACAGACAGTGTGTGTTTTGTTTCTTTTTTTCTTGCTGTTAATTCTATTTTATTTTTTACCTACATACTCTTGTCCTTTAGGAAATTGAGTCTGGCACTAATAAAGGAGCTGTGAGAACAAAAAAATATTGTTACCAGGAAAGAGTGATATTTCAGGGTCAGGCAGCATTCAATCTTTGTTTGCAACTGTGTGTTTTGGCGAAATGCGTTTCTGGCAAAGTAAGAGGATTCAGTGGGTTTTAAGTAGAGTTGTTGCATTGGTTGTTTTTTTGTTGTTGTTTTTTTTGCTTGTCTTTAAGAATTCTGTCTCATCAAAGTGTGTGCTTTGTTGAAGTGTGAGATTTGAGGGATGATAATTTCAGAGAGTCTATTTTGGATCATTGGTATACACAGCTCTGACAAATCAGAAATACTCAATCAGAAATACAAATCAGAAATAATTTTTGTGTTAGCGTGCTTTTTATTGTTTGGTTTTTGTTTGTATCATAACCTAGAGATGACAAGATGCAGTTAAATATATTTAGCCTCATGTGTGTAATATTCAGGAAAACAAAATGGGTATTTCATTGTTGTTGGGGAACCCACAAATGAATGTCAGAATGCTTTTGTCACACAGCACTGATATTTGTATGGAAAAATCTTACTTCATTTTCTCGTAATGCAGTGGAATACTTCTGCAGCTGTGTAGCAATGATAATGAAGTACAGGAGGAGAAGATAATTGTATAGAGAGACATAACAAGATTAGGAAAAACTTGTACAGAGTGGGATGAATCAGGACAAATAGTACAATGTGGCAATAAGATACAGAAATTACTGTCCAGGTGTATTCAAACAGGGTTTTCTTTTAAAATAAGGAGGAGAAAATCAAATGTCATTTTCAAGTTAGGGACTTGAGATTGAGGTGGAGCTTTATTACACAGTACTTTGGTGGATTGTTTTGGGCTCACTTAGCAAAGAACTTGAGCACTTTGTCTTGTGCTGACTTTTTTTTCCCTTGAATTTAAAACTTTCTTTAGATAAATATGAAAGCTAACTGCATTAAAAAAAAAAAAGACATACAGCAAAATCCTGTTGGTGCAGTGAATCAGTGGCAAGTTTTTATAACTGAAATGTGTATACTGAAAACTGTCTTGCATGTCTACGTTGTATAGGTGCAGTCTTCTGGAGAGGACAGAATACTTGTGATGGGAGCAACAAACAGGCCACAGGAGCTTGATGATGCTGTTCTCAGGTATCAGAATGTCTCTTTTATGAGTGTGATCATGGGATGCTTGTTATGAACAGCTGGTTTTGCTGCTTAGTTTCTTGATTGTAAATTTTTACTAATTAGGCAAAGTTGTTTGACAAGAATAAATTTAGCTTCTCAGAGGTGCCTCTTCTCTTTTGGGATACAACTGTACAAGCATGACAATTAGAGTTGTCTAAAGCAGCAGTGCCTCTTAAAACCAAGTCAGTATTTTGTAACTTTTTTGCATCTCTCACCCTGCTTTTTTTTATTTGGAGCTTGAAGAAGAAATTTGATGAATGAAATCTAGTACTTACTCTCTGTGAATATTTGACTTCTGATGTTCCCTGCAGTTGAAGATTTTGCTGTAGATTTGCCATAGGCCTTTTTTTAGCTAAAAGCTTTCGTGTTTGCTTGTCTATTCACTCTTGACTGAGCAAAATAAGTGTGTCAGCACTGTCTGAACAAATAAATTGCATTTTTAAAAATTCCAGAGACCTTTTGTGTGTACTGAAGAGATGCATTGTTGTTAGTGAGAGTCAGTGATGTTTTTACTTCTTGAGTGTTTCCTCTTTGGGAGGAGTTTCATGACCTCAGCAGGAGTAAGGTGACACCAGCAGCTCATGCATGTTGATTTTGTTGTTTTGCTTTTAAACCTAGAGTTCTGCTTCCTAGAATTAGATGATGGAAGTGAAATCTTGATATCTATCAAGCTGTTAGATCCATATACAATAGAAAACCAGAAAAGCATATGTGTATTTATGTGTTTTTTTTCTAGACGGTTCACCAAACGGGTATATGTATCTTTACCAAATGAGGAAGTAAGTATTGGTTTCCATGATTTTCTTTGAGATATATTTTCTTTGAATCAAAAACAGAAGCCTCAAAAAATTAACTTGCCCTGGATGATTGCAGTTTGGTGATTTAATTTCTGGCCCAGCCTGGCCCCATAAACTGTGCTTTAATTCTGGCAACTAGCTTAAGCTGTTGCATTTTTATGCTTGCTACCAGCAAATTTAGTAGTAGTTACTCAGTATTAGTGAGATGTTGCTTACATACTGGCAGGCATGGACAAGTCTGATTTAGGGCTTGCAGGAGCAGGTTTGGTTGGCAGGAGAGAGTATTTATTGCAGAAGATAAAGGTAACTTTCTTAATGTGCTATTTTCAGTTGAGTAGCAGATTAGGACTTTTGGTGAGGATTCTAACATGGTATTGTGTGCATCTTTAGAGCCAGTGTGATCCTTGTTCTTACTATTAGCAAATCCCTCTCTCTTTCTCTGAAGAGATTATTTTGTACACTCTAATCACAAAAGCACTACAGGCAAATTTAAGTCAGTGAAGCACAAAAGCTAGCCCAATGAACACGTACTTTTGTTATTGTAATAAAATTTAAGTGTACCATGAAAAAAGCCAGTTTTACACATGATAAATGTATCATCTTTTCAGACGAGATTGGTTTTGCTAAAGAATCTTCTAAGCAAACAAGGAAGTCCGTTGACCCAAAAAGAGTTGGCACAGCTAGCAAGGTAAGTATTTTGTAACTATACTGAGTAAATATACTCATCTACTAAATTCATTCATGCTGTTTTATTCGCTCTTAATTTGTCTGACACTGATCTTCAGAAAGTGACAGTACTAACTGAGAATGCGATGTGTGCATTCTGGGAAGATGTTCTTCAGTAAGAGGATAGGAAATTGTTTTCCTTTTATGATTCTGTATCCATTCATATATATATATACATATATCTATCTATCTATATATATATATATATATCTCTCTATTCTGTATCCATTCATGTATATACTTTTTTTTTCCACCCCTACACTACATAACTGGGTTTTTGTTGTTGAAACATGCTCATCAATACTTTTATTTCTGAGAAGTGATGGAGATGCTTCTCTCCACTGATCTCCTCTCCCCCCATCAGTCTAATTCTCATCCATAATGTAAAAAATCAGTACCCGTTTTGCATTTGTTATGCATTTCAAATCACAAGCAAGTTTTCTTTCGTTCTGTTGCTAGGATTATTGAAAATATTACCAACATAACAGAACAAGTACTGAGTAATTTTGTGCTTTTCAAATTTCATGTTTGTTTGAAAAAAATCAGAGCTAAGCGCTCTTACTATGAAACAAAGTTGTTGCTGGTTTTTGTTTTTGGTTTTTTTTTTTTTTTTTTTTTAGTCATTAATACTGACACAATAGTGCTATTTTCCATCTTCAGATAGTGTAAAGGTTGTGAAGGAAGGCAAACTGGGTAAAGTGACTTAGGCAGGAAGGGAGTGAAAACCAATTGTGAGACCTGAAATATTTAAGTGGATGCCTTTCTGTCTTGCTTCTGTTTGTGGTGGTACGAAGGAGGCAAGTACGCTCTGGAATGTTATGGTTTTTCAACCTCTTAATGTTACAGAAATTAGGATGCTAGCTTAGGCCATACTTAGGCTACAGTAGTGGCTAAGTGAAAGAAGAAGGAAGCAATTTGAACTCTAACTACCAGTTTATGCACCGAATTAGAAATGGAAATGAAGCATGCCCTTTTTTTATGAGAGTTCAGTCTTTTATAAAAGTGCCCTCTGTGTTCCGACTGCCATATATTTTTGCTTCAGAAGAAATTGGAATTAAAAAAAACAACAGGACTTTAGCTGCTCCTCATCTTCCCCTTTAGACCTTTCACTGTTTTTGTTTCCTTCAGACACATCCTAATATCTTCATATCCTTTTTAATTTGTGACACCAAAACTGCACCTCATTCTTAAAGTAATGACTGTTTCACTTATACTGAACATTTCTTTTGTCTGGTTAGCTGTGCTGTGCAAACACTGAGAATACAGTTGGTCCTTTTGGCTGTCAGGGTATACTGTTGACTCATACTGAGTTTACTAACAAACAACCTGAGAATTTCTGCAGGTCTGTCCTTCAGTCCCTTGGCCTTCAAGGTATTCAGGATTGTGCTGTCCCAGGTGCTGAATCCAGGATTTGCTCTTTTAAGTTTCATGTATCCCTTAAATTAAAATGGCTCTAAGGTCTCTCTGCTCTGAAAGGAATCAGTGGCTCTTCCTATTTTAGTATTGTCTGCACTCAACTCCAGTGTCCAGAAATTGAGTAGTCCAGGTTATTGATTTAAAAAGTAAGCAGGCAAAAAACCCCCAAATCGTTAAGAAGTATAAGCCATAAAAGGAAAACCACTAGTGACTGGCTAGCCTGATAGTACCTTATTTACCACAACCCTTTGAGCACATCCTGTTGGCCTATTATTCATTCCTTGTATTGTGTACTTGTATGGTATACAGCTAGACATTTTGCCCAGAAGGATACTGTGAGACCCAGTATCAAAAACTATTGCTTCTGATAAAAAAAAAATCCTGTTTGCGGCTTTCCCTCCATTCATAAAGGTGGACAAAACTGTCATAAAAGGATATTAAGTTAGTGAGATATGACTTTCTGTCCATGAACCTGTGTTGGTTTTGGCTGCTTGTTATAGCCAGCTTCAGCTCTACAGTTGGGTGAGTTTTTCGTATTGAAATCATTTTTAGGTAACTTCTTACTTATGTTAGCAGTATCTGCAGCTTCCCAGTTCAGTGGGGAGGTTTATTCTTCAAAATATTAAACTGTTACCTTGCATGAAAAGAAAAGACTGCAAATTCCGAGTTACTTGCCAATTACTTTTAGAGTATAGTCTCAAATATGGGAGAAAGGCACTCCACCAGAAATAACTCTGCACTGTAACTTGCTAAACGAAGACGTATTGCTTTAAAGACTTGGAGTTACTCTACTGAATTAGTAGATCGATTTACTCCTTGGTATCCACTGGTCAGTTGTTCCTGAGGCTTTTCATAAGGAGCATACTTTGGAACTGTCATTTTCAAAACCATATACTGTTATTGGGCTTTTAGAAATATTTGCTTTTGCCCTTTGGCACCAATATTAACTAAAAATGCATATTGTTTTACTCAGAAGATTGATTGTCAAATCATAGATTTTATGTGGTATTGGATTCTCATTATACTGGGTTATGAGACAGTTGAATTAAATGATGACAAACTAGCAGTAAGATGTTCTCATAATAGAAGCTTGACTTCTGTTTTCATCAACAAGTCTTAAGTGGTTGCTGTCATCTTGCTTTTCCTTGCATTTTAGGCAGAATTTGAATATCTGTGCCTAAAATTTATCTGGAAGAGATTGCATATAATCAGTTACACTGAATGCGCTACTAGTTTATTAAATTTGGAGGACAACATTAAAATAGTATTTCTTCTGATCAAATAATGTCTTAACCATGTGTAATTAAACAAGATGTTTTGAAGCACTTTTTCTCCTCTTCCCTTCCTTTCCTCTTCCCCCCCCTTTTTTTTTTTTTGTTTTTTTTTTTTTTAAAGAATGACAGATGGATACTCTGGAAGTGATTTAACTGCATTAGCAAAGGATGCAGCATTGGGTCCTATCCGAGGTAAGCTTGCACAGCTTTTATGTTTAGGCTTCTAAAAAAATGCACTACCCTTGAAGAAGTTGAAGATGTTTATCTAGAGTGGTTAAATTAGTGCATGCATTTATATACACAAATTTTACTTTGGCAGATCGCTTCACATGCGAGTCCATGTTGAGAAGAGATCACAGAAATTATTTCTTCCACCTGATCCTGGCTTCCAAATAAAACATTAAAAAAAAAATTGTCAGCCTTGCTGATCTCACCTACATTCTTTGTACAGAGATTTTCAGAGCAAAAAGTTTGTGTACTGTGTTGCTACCATAACAGTACTTTGAGAAGAGAACTGTAAAATGAGAAGGGCTACTGAATTGATGAGTTCCCACTAGAACTGTATGCAGTGAGATGCAGTGTTAGGTGTCTACCTGATTTATTTCTGTATTCTTGGCTGATAGTACTTTTCTTTGCTGAGAACTGTGTGTGTTCTGCTGGTACAGAAGGCTGTAGGTCCTAAGAATAAAATGGTGGAAGGCAGCTGTTATACTTGGATGCTTCCCTTTTTGAGGAAGGATGTAGTTCTGCTAACATCTTGTACTGTATCTGTAATGAGTCACTTTGGGAGCAGTATGGATGTTCAATGGGAAGAAAGGGAAGGAAGAGAAAAACACCACCATGTACTTTTCCTTAAGGAAAATTATGTTGTGGCAGATAGGCACGCATCTTGTTTGTGGTGGTCCAATTAAAAGTACGTGTTAGTATGTTTTAATTGTCAGAAGAAGTAGGCTTTTGTACAGAACTCAGTGATCTTTCTTTATTTTCACAGAATTAAAACCAGAGCAAGTGAAGAACATGTCTGCCAGTGAGGTATGCTGTTCCAGCAATTGTTTTCCCTTTTCAATGGAATACATGCTCAGCAGAAACTTTTTATGCCTCTCTGCTTATGCCTAGTATCATACAAAACACAAGTGTTTTTTTTCTTGGCTGTTACATCTTTGTGATTACTTCCTTACTTAAGAAGGCTCTTTAAGGCTGCGATTGGGAAGAAACATCTACCCTGAGATATCAAAGGTTGTTTGTGTGGCTTGGTTATCAAGTTTGAGTGCCTCTTTTTCTCCTAGTTGATCTCCAATATTGTTATTTTCAGCAGATTATCCTGTCTTTTCCCTTACATTGAGCTGGAACTTCATGATACCTCTCAGATGACATCAGAGACCTGGCTTTTGTTATTTTTTTCAGTGTTGCTCTCTCCAAAACTTCCCAGAAGTATTGTACAAAATGCTTTTTTTTTAATCTTTACATAAAACAAGTCATTTTAAGAAGAACCTCTGAGCAATTTTAAATCTCTAAACCTAAATGAAAAGGAAGAAATTGGCTCTTTAAAAAGTCTTCTACTCAAAAGTACTTGGAAATCAGTGTTATGTAGGGAAAACTATGAAACGCCCATTGCTTGCTATTTCGGCCTTAGATATCAGAGCTACAGTCAGCTGAAAATGGTTTTTTTCTGGGAACTAGAAAACATCAGTGTGACTTTACTGTAAGTGCAAGTTTACTTCCAGTAGCCTATAAACTCTAGTCCCAATGAAACCTGGAGGATGAGCACCATTTGTAGTGTTAATACGTATTTGATGATGTGACTGCTCTTACACACTCTTTGCCTACCTACCACTGTGTCTGGACATATCTCTAATGAGGAAAGGCCCACTTACCATGTTCTCAACAAACTGAAAGGCATGTGTTTGAATCAGAGAAGGGAGATGATAAGATTTCCTTGGCTGACAGCCTGCTGTGATCTTGAATACATTAGTTGTTCATCTTTTTTTTGGGCATGGAGGACCTTTGGTGCCTTATTCTCCTGGGGCACAAAAGTACACTTTGAATGTTTTGAAAATCTCACATTGTACACTTTAATCAGTCTTGTGTCCTGATGTGCACTGACTTGCACCACCTAGTGGAATAGGAAACAGTCACACATGCTCATAGGCTATCAAGTAACAAAGCTAATGTAATTATCAAACATATTATAATAAAGAAAATACTGATAATAAATGACACGAGACTATTGCATCATTATATGAAGCATGTTAGAATTAAATACCAACGTACTTTTTGAATAAACTGAAGCGTTTTAACTGCTTGTGATCCTAATGTCTTTTGCTTTTCTTTTAGATGAGAAATATTAAATTATCAGATTTCACTGAGTCTTTGAAGAAGATAAAGCGTAGTTTGAGCCCTCAGACACTGGAAGCGTACATTCGTTGGAACAAGGACTTTGGAGATACCACGGTGTGAAGCACTACTTTAAGTGGAACGGAATGCTGCCTAAGGAGCAGGAGTACAGACTACTGGAAAGCAGCCAAAGTTTACAGGACTTGGCAGATCTTTGAGTATCTGCGTTAAAACTTGAGAATATGAAAAAAATTATACAATGTGAAATAAATTCATCAAAGCCTCCTTGCCGTTTAGTGAGGATTTACACACTGTAAGTAAGAGCACAATAGGACTTTGGATAAGATTCCTACCAATCTGATCATAGTTTGAACAGTATGCATATTTTGTTTCAGTTGGAAGGCTCTGATGATATTGATCATTGGAAGACCTTTTCCCTATGTTGTGTGTTATTTTCGTTTTTAATTCTGCTATGACATTAATGTCTGGCTTCCTGGTAACTACTAATAGTTGGATTTTTTTGTAACCTTTGGTTCTGCTTTTGTCTTTTTTTTATTTTACCTTTAATGTGCCAAATAAAACAAATTCCCTGTGTAAAGATGAAGAACAGCATTGGGGGATTACAACTATCAAAATGTAAAATGCAGCTGGTCTGTTATTATTTGTCTTTGTTTAGTTGTATGTGAGTGCATTGTTCATGGAACAGTTCTAGAAAAGACCTTTGATAGCAGAACAGCAAAAAAAGAAAAACTACAAAACCAGTTCAAACTGTTTTGTTTTTTTTTTTTTTTAAAAGTAAAATACTAAATAAAAAGTAGACTAAGACGTTCACTTACTGGCAGTATTTTCTCTTAATGCAATTTGTAATGTTTCCATTGGTAGAATGTTAGCTTATGCTTATGGTGTGCAACTTGAAGGCCAGCTGTTTGAGAGAGTAAGTGATGCTAATTGTCAAGTTTCAGAAATGTGTTTCTACTTTGTATTTTGGTCTGGCTCCAGCCATTGAAAGTGAAATTTCCATTGTGTAATTTTTTTAATCTACACATTTAACCTTTAAACATAAGGCTACATGTTTAATACATTGCGAACATTAATGTTTTTATAGCTTTCATATGTTTTGGTTTATATATTAAAGTATGAAACACTCAACTGATCTGCTTTTTTTGAAAGAAACTGCATCTTTGTACAAATACTTGGATTTTTATTATATAAATGACAAGCTATTAAAAAAATGTGAGCCTTTAAATGCTGTAATAAAACATCTCTGCCTTTACTTCTAAAGGCCTGACATCTTGTTTACAAATTCTGCATCAATCAAACACTGAGATGTTTGTAAGGCAGAATGCTAGTTCCTTGTTAGAGCAGTTTTAAAATTAAAGACATCTCTCCCAACTTAGTGATATTGCAAAGTTGTTTATTGTTTACAGTTGTTTTAACTAAGTTCATTTATCTGTTTCATTTCCTTTTGGTCTGAATGGCACATTTTGTCCTTTTCACTTATTTTATTGGAAGGAGTAAGTCTTAAATATTTCTGGGGCTACTTGTTTGGAAATTGACTGTATTTTTATATGTGTGAAAAAATATAACTGATGCAGTGCAAATATAGCAATACCAAGAGATGGCTTGGTGTTCGCTGCATGGTATTTAGTACTAGACAGCTGAAGCTGTGTAAAGCTTTTGAGATGCATACATGCAGGATACTTGGGATTTGTACGTTGTTTTTTTTTAACTAGGGATGCTTTTAACTTTTTAAATTGCTTTTAATTTTAATATAAGAAAAGGTTGTGTTGCACTAGTATGCCTTTTGAAACCACTTCTAACCTTCTAACCAAACCATTTCTAGCCTTCTAAGGGTATGACTCTATCAAATGTGTGTCTGATATAAATGAAGTGTGATATCTGTTACGCGGAATAACCTTCCCAGAGAAGATATGCTGGAAGATTTTAGTTTGTCAGATCTCACGTCTTGCTTTGCCTCAATTCTGCCTTCTTTTGAGTATCCTTGTCTGTGATTTCTGGCTAGTGTAACTTGTAATTGTCACAGACTTGATAGTGTTAAACACAGGTATTACTGTTTTATCACCATGTGCCAAATAGCTAAACAGGTAACAAATGCCTCTGGTCTTCCTATTGATCAAGCTTGCAATTTTTTCCTTGAGTTCCTTTGCAAATGGAAACTCTGAGATAATACTTCTGTGGTTGTAAGGGTTCCTAAGTATTTGTTATCAAACTCAATTTTCCTCCCTTAAATTTTGAGGAATATAGTGGTATTAATTTCAGATGTGTGTTGGGAGGTGATAGGTTCCTCAAATGTAGAGGTAGAACATTGCATCTGCTAAAACACCATGAGCAAGCGGCACAAAGGGTCAGAAGCCTGAGCTGCTACCTCAGAAAGGAAAAGAATAACTGGTTCAGGACTGGAGAGTGTGTGACACAGTAATGGTTTTTGGTATCTATTCTGCCTTAATTGTTTTCTATGTAATGGCTGAATTGAAGCTCTGTGAATGACTTCTGGAACACAGTAAAAAGAGCTTGATTCTGTTGATCTGTTTGCCCCAATAGCTGCTGTATTTTTTTTTTTTTTTTTAGTCCATAATCAAGTGCCATTTGGTTCATAAATTGCCTTTAAATTTCATTTACACATCTACAGTATTTCTTGAAGAGTGTCTTTTAATAATAATTCTGTTCCCCTCGGGATATTTAATCACCTATCCTGTTTTCATATCCTGTGTGTGTATGTTACATACACTGAGTAATTTCCAGCTCAGTGATTTTCATCTGTGTGCTAGATTAACTATGTATAAAAGCAAATCTAAGAACTAAGCAGGGAGAGGGGAACCCACAGCTCTCCTATTTTGTACAGGACTTTGCAACTCTATATGTCATAAAATCAGATTGTGTTCTAATACAGTATCTTGAATTAGGATAAGCGGAACAACAGCTTGGATGCTTTTAACCTTTGTAAAGGTTACATTTGCACTGACTCTCTAAACTGACTTTTTTTTACCTCTCTGGATGAACCTGTCCACTGCTAATGAATGACTTGACCCACTTCTTAGAGATTATTAGGAAGCAGCCTGTCTAGCTTGCTGCACTTGTGTTTTACTGGCTTAAAGTTAAACACTGGAGGGAAGGGGGAAAAAAAATGTTATGAGACTGCTGCTTTTTAAAACTTTTTGTGCATCTTTGCTTATTAAGCAGGAAATACCTGTTCTTTCTACCTACTGGAGGAGCAGTGTCTTCTAAGGTAGTGGGTTGCTTGAAGTAGTACACTTATGCACTTGCAAGTCTTACCTGTTCTCTTTGTCAGAATTATAGTTTGATGCATTAGGAACAAGCAATCCTCCCCAAAGCCTCTTATCAACTGTACTAAAGAAAGTCGGACAGTAATAGCTTTGTTGAATATGGCCTTGCAACTTGCATTATTTAGATACCAAACGTGATAGTAACACTTGATAACTGGAATGGAATCTGAAGTGGGAAGGAAGTCCTCACTGCACTAATTAGAAGCAGATGCTGATTTCCCTGTTGGATTCTTTTGAATGTGATTAAAATGACAGGTTTTTACGCATACAACTTCCTGTGATAATTAAATTTACTTTCCAGTATAGAATAAATTGGTAGCTCTTTCCTGTTCTAAACAAGCAACTTTTAGCTGGCACAGCTGTCAAGTACATTTTGTGAAATTTAAGTACAGGGAAGCCAGATATGTTGGCAAATTTAACTGAAATGTCTGTTTCGCAACTGATATGGAAAGCAGCATTCTGCTTAGGACTTCATTACCCAATTGGTGAAATTTGTGTGCTAGAATCTTCTGCTGCATGTCTACAAGACATGGATTATCACATAGTTGTGCTTAAGATAAGTTTAGCTATTCTAATGCTTTAGTGATGTTTCTGCATGTGGCAGCTGTGGGAGATGGCAAGCTGTACTGTAGGTTACAGATCTTCGTTCTGTGATAGTCTTAAGCTCCTGCATTTTTAGTTCTTGAGACTTCTATTTCTGACAACTGGTAGGAAGATAACAAGCAGACAGTAGAACATTTCCCTTAGTCATTGTGCTTGTTAGAGGCAGTTACCAATTTACCAAGTTACCAGGCTCTCTTGAGCTGCTGGTTAGTGTTGAAGGATGTTGTTTTACTCACCTACTTGAGTCTCCATGCTCATCCTAAGAGATGACCAGATGAACAATAGATAAAATATTTTAAAATAGTATTTTCTTTTAAATACTGTAACTGTAATTCAACAGGACACAGAAGTAAACTAGTTTCCTGCAAAGACAGAATCATCTAAAGTACGGGGAAATGTGTATTATATTCTTCCTGCTTCTCTTGTAAATTGCAAACTGTCTTGGTGTAAACTGTTTACTTTGTCAATAACTACCTCCTGAGTTCAGCAATAATTGACAAGGTAGACATTCCTCCAGTGAATTAAATGTGTTGGTTAAATGCTGTGGCTTCTGTCAGTACTCCTCAGTTTCGTCTTTTTGATTTGTAAGTTCTTGACATGATGTCTGGAAACAGGTGATTAGTTGTAAGACTTTGTCTTCATAAGAAAACATTTCTAAAAGTTTTGTTTCAGAGACTGGCTTTGCAGAAGATTAACTTTCTTCATAGTTGGTTAATACAGGTTTATTCTTTCAGGATGCTAAAGGCCTAGTCTCGGTTCTGCAGGGTCGTTCTGTTTTTCACATTAGAAGTGAGAAGTACTTGATCTAATGCTTGCATAAATATCGAAGGGGCTGAGAATATGGAAACTGTTTTTGTCACAATTCAAATTTTTATTCATGTCTTCATGAAGGGCTAGTCAGAAATCTGGATTTAAGTGACAAAACTGAAAGATGGAGGTGAATCGCTATGCCCTACCATGTTAAATACAGTGAATAACTCCTGTTTGGGATGGGGTTTATTCTTGTCTTTTGTTGTGATGAGGGACTTTGCTTCAGTGTTCCCTAAAGAACTTTTTCTGAAATGTTGACGACCACTTTATTAATAAGCAATGTAAGACAGCATGATGAGCAGTCACATAGCATTAGCTTCACAATAAAATGTTGCGTTTATCCTTTTCTTACTGTTCCTGTCTGTTTAGATAGATTGTCTGTTTTCAGATAAAATGTCCAAAGCTGTGAGCCTTCTCGTTAAACCTGAATCTGATTAAATTATTTCTGCCTTAATAAATAAGTAAAATCAGGTGTTGTATGCCTACTGGATGATGGAACAATAAATATGTAAATATCTCAGTTTCTAAAGGACTTAAGTTCTTAATACTAATGTAAGCAAGGGCTGCTTCCTACATTAATTTACTGAAAATATGCTTATCTTAGTCTTGCTAAATCGCAGTGGAAAATAAGAGCTGTTACGCTAATTGTAGTTGTTGTGGTGAACAGTCCTGAAAACAGCAATTTGCACCAACTTACTTTGCTTCAAAATGCATAGAGGTTACAAAAATGCAAGCAGACACGGATTCTTTGAGAGACTGTGCACAATTTAGTGAAGAGCCAAGAAACTTAAAACAATATCCTAGTACTTGCTATATTGGGATCTACAGAGATTGTGGATTTGGCAGGATATCCTGATCTAAGTGTGCCAGACTCATTAAAAAATGAATCTTCTCTCATTCTAGCCAAGATAGCAAGACTGTGTGCCTATTATCAGATGCAGACATTGCAGATGGAAATCTGTTTATTTCTGTATCTTAATGCCTTAGGGTTGCCAGAAAATGTAAGGGGAAAAATATATATATATTTTTTTCACTGATGCTATTTCAGAAAGTTTCCAAATAGTTTATCAACTGTGAAATCCAGTATCTTTCCTGCAAGAGCACATGTGGCTTGGGAACAGGCAAGAGTTATGCAACCCTCTGTAAGTCATTTTTCATTGTGTAATGGTAACGGAGAAAATATTACTTGGTGGTGAAGGCAGAAAGATGGAATTTAACAAAAATTCACCGCAGCTCATGTAAGTGATTTATTGCAGGTGCTGTGGTGTAGCAACAGAAAAAGGCAGTGGGAGTTAAAGAAGGCTGGGACTGCTCTCACAAGCCAAGTGTGTTGTTTCACCCAAATATTTTTAAGGCTTATTTTATTTTTGCAAATGTATGTTGTAGGTGCAATATGTGCTTCTTATAATGTAATGTTATCAGTGTCAGATCTCAGTGATTTCTAAAAGACCTCAAACTTGCCTTGGTTGTGCAATATCGTGGCAGGCCGTTAGTTCTGTTATGTGTAAAAATGCTTTGCCAGGAGGTGTGGTGTGTATCTGAGCTTAGAGAAGAAAAACAATGGGGGGGGAAAAAAAAACAACTGGTAATGCATCAGCACCGAAGTTACCAAACAATTTTTGTGGCTTGTACCATATGTCCACAATGTTACCCCCACCGTTTTTGGGGCCGCAAATTTGTGGTTTTAACTCCATGACCTGTCAATATTGCCGGGTGTATTAGATATATTTTTGTTATTATTTTGTATATATTTGGATAAATAATATTTAATATTATATATTATATATATAATATGAAATATATAATATTTAATTGAACAAGGGGGCAGAGAAACAAAGCTGCCCGCCCGCTCTGAAGTCGTTGTGGAGCGCGGTACCCCGCAGCGAAAGCGGGGCCGAGGGTAAAAAGGACCTGACGGCTGGGGCACGTGAGGAGCTCGTGCCGCGCCCAGGCGGCGCTTTCATTATACGTCACATCCGGTTCCACGCGCGCCTGTAAGGGTCCGCTCGTTGCCACAGTGACGGAAGCCCCCTCCGCCTCTTCCGGCCTCGCATGGCGCCGTCTTTTCCGGTGCGGGGAGTACTATGGTGAGCTGGACGCGGCAGGGAGAGACGGGATGGGCGCCGCGCGTGGGAGCGGGGTGCTGAAGGGGCCGGGGCGCCGCTCCCGTGCGGGCCGGGGGGGTTTCGGCTCCGAGCGCGCAGCGCGTCGTCTCTCAGCGCCTCTTGCGGCTCTTCTCTCCCGCCCCGCTCCCGGGGCAGCCCCGCCGGGCCCGCGATGACGTGGCCGCCCGGGTCCGCCCCGCTGCGTCGGCTCGGATCTCCATGGGCACGGGCCGGGGCGTCCCCGCCGCAGGTGGCTTCTCCGGGGCAGCTGTGGCCGCAGGTGCGGGCGGTCCTCGGCGTCCTGGGGAGGGCTTGGTGATGATTTGCATGGAGAGAGTGTAGTAAGTGCAGGGCTTCTGCCCCGGGGAACGTGCGTTTGCAGTCTGTGATACTGCTTGATACTCGTGGTACCGAAGAAAACGTGGGTGTGCCTGCAGATACTGAGAGCAGCGTGAAATACAGCTTTGTTGACAGGTGTGTCTGTAAACCGATTGAGTCTGGTTAGGTAACCAGCTTAGAAGCACCCCTCTGTCGTGAGTTCTGGTTCGTGTCCACGTGAAGTCAGTCATCGTTTTGTAGTAACAGGACGTGTATTGTTATAAATAAAATTGCTGTTGAGAGGCACAGTTCAATTTAATGTTAATTATATCAACGAATTGGAGTGAGCTTTTGTTATGGAAATAGTTCATATGTGAAGGCTTGGTGTTTTTTTTTTTTTTTTTTTTTAAATTTAAACTGGGGTTTAGGTAAAATATTTAATTAAAGTTTACCTTTCTCAAGGGGACAATACACCTGTTCCGCAAATCACAGAGGTCATTGGTTGGAAAGTTAACACATGAATTTAGGCTGGTTGCAGCAGATAGAAGGGTGAGTATTTCTTTTGAAAATAAATACTATGTTTGCTGTGGTAAATTGAGATACACTATTAATTTAAGCAAATTATGGAAAATATATTAAAAACATAACTGTACTTTTAAAAAGAAGTGATTATTTTTTGAATTTAGTTTCATGTGGAGCTCATGCATCAGATATTAAGATTATCACAGTAACACTGTCTGCTATAAATACGTTTGTATGCCAGAGTGTACAGATACTGCGGTATTATTAGTGCTATGAATAGTAAGGATGCTTTTCTATTTTTAAATTGAGTTGAACTTTCTGTGAAGTTGGAGTCTGTCCCTGATAATTAATTTTCCCCAGAACTGTGCTTATGTTTAATGCATTAGGTAGAACTGTGAGTTGAAGATGCACAGGTGTTCTTGGGACCAAAGTTGTAGCATAGAGAATGGAACCTGCTTAGGTCTTTTGGCTGTCCTTACTTACTTACTTCTCTGTCAGAACTGAGAGCAGGAAATAGGAAGGTGTCGTAATTCTGTCTAGAAAAGTCATGTAGAATGTGCTACAATTAGATGCACGTGCTATGGAGGGGTGTTTTTTCAGATTAAAAAAATGTAATACGTAATGCTGTTTGAAAATGAGTTTGGGGACAATCTATAAAATTAAACTAAAATATGAGATTTTTGCCCTAACGTGAGTTGTATGTTTGTGGGAGAAACAGAGAGAGTTCTGCTTGCATGATGAAGTGCTGCAGTATTGTGTTCTTGTTTTTCTTTTTTTAAACAGCATAGGTGTATTTTTGTCTTGTATTTTACATCTTCCGAAAATTTACACATTTATTCTCCTCAACAGTCCTGGAAGATCCTGCTGTTTGGTGCTATAAATTTAATATGTATTGGCTTGCTGCTAATGTGGTGCAGCTCTACGAACAGCATAGGTAGGTGGCTCTCTTGCAATGAAGCTTCTAACAGCTACACTGTGTTTCTGCACTCATGAAGTTTCAGAGTACTACAAATCAAAGCTCTGTGCATATTGGAGATGGGTGACTGAGAAGCCAGGTTTGGAAGTTGCCTCCTTTTCATTTGCCGTGGTCGTTGTGGAAGCATTTCTTGCAGAGAGGTGTGCAAGGATTTCCAGACTTCTTCTTGTTTTTTTCTATGTAGCATCCTCTGTCTATAAGACTGAAAAAACAGAATTCTAAACTAGTCCTCAAAGCTGTTCCTTATAGAAGTAACACTAGCAACACAGAGATATCCTCATTTGCAGTTGGTTGAAGGCAGCTGTAGTGTGGCAAAAACATTCTCTAATTTCAGGAGTGCCTCTTTTTAATGTTTTGTATTTTTCCTGTTCTTGTACAGGGGCTCCAAGATGCTCCCTATCAGCAGTACTGAAAGTAGAGTGCCCCATATTTTCAATTTGTAACATAAGTTTTCTTGCGATTTTAGATGAGTTAGAGAAGCAAAACTAGTGAACCTACTTTTTCCTGTAGTATTGTATGTAAGAGATTTCTTGCTTTGGTGAAATGTGTTACAAGAAGGTCTCCCAATTTCCCCGTGTTTAAGACCTTAGTCACAACTATTTATTCCTGGTAGCTGAATACTTTCTGTAGCTGGGCATTTAGTAGAATTTGGATTGTCAAAATCAACCTGTTAATGGGGTGAGAGATGCTTGTGTTTTCAAAACATTCGTATTACCTGCACAAAAAGAGAGTGCTCTGCAGTATCAGCAGAGATGATTTGTTTAGATAGAAAATGGCATAGAGATGCAGTAGAGGGATTTAGCAGAAGAATACAAGTGACTGAAAAATTATAAGTTTAAAATATTTGCTTTTTTTACAGCTTTAACTGCTTACACGTATTTGACAATCTTTGATCTTTTCAGGTGAGTTTTTCCCACTTAATCTTAGTTTATTTGTGCCTGGTTTTGTTTATTTATGTACATAGAAAATGTTTTTATGAACACATATCAGTGGTGGAACACCTGGTTTAAAGATAGTTTAAATGAATGTAAAATTGTACATCACAATAAATAGATGAGGAACGCTATGGCTGTGTGACAACGATCAGATTCCTGTGTTAATTTCATAGGCTTTTGCTTTGTACTCTTCATTTGTAAGTGTGATATCAGACAATATAAAGAAGATTTTCTCAAAATACCTTTCCCTGCTAGATAGATTTAGGTCTGACCTCACGTTGCCTCTGGTATCCTTTCAGAGAAACTCAGTTTGCATGCAAAATAAACACTATTTGTGCTTATCAAGATGTCAGTGGAAACTGCATTACATTTGGGGTTGTGACAAACTTGATTTAGGCTGAGTGATGTGCTGCATTGGATGTTGATGGTGGCCTTTGAAAGTGCAGCATGTTGTCAGTATGACATTGGCAGTCTCCTGATATAAGGACTTAGACTGGCTTCCAGTTTCCTAATGTTCTCTGCTGTCCATTTTCTGGGGACAGCTTAGATGTCTTTCCAGCATCCCTTCTGTTTCCAAACAGTTTTTTCTGGATTCACTGGAAACCTCACTGGGATGGAGATGAAAGGGTTGAGTTCATGGTAAACCATTACATTTGATAATTCAGTTCTGATGGCTGAAGTGTATGTGCATTCTACTTTGGAGTTTGTGAAGGCCATACTTGTTTATTACATTCTAATTCTCCCCTTTTTTTTTTCTTCTTCAGTTTGATAACATGTCTAATAAGCTACTGGGTAATGGTGAAGAAACCCAGTCCAGTCTATTCATTTGGGTGAGTACTGTTAAGAAGATTCAGTGTTTGATAATACAGCATTTGATTCGTTGTTGGATATCCTTGCTTATGTTCTGTAACAGCCACCACAGAGAACTGATACGTGTAAAGACTGGCTCTCTGAAGAACAGGCACAGTATGCAGGAGGAAAAGGAAAGGGAAGAAACAGGAAAAAGAGCTAAGAAATGTGTAATTTTAAGCTGGAAATTGTAGTCTGTCTTCTGTCAGAACAAAGGCTTGTTTGTGGTAATTGGAATTCGGGCTTAATTAAAAATTGTGTTATGTCGTGAATTTCCGGTTTCTCCTCCTCCTCCTCTCTTTCCACTTGAAAGAATTAGAAATAGTAGGTCTATTCCATTGCTTCTCTACAGACTGCAATGCATGCAGAGAATTGTTGGAAGTTCTGTAACTTAATTCGTAAATTTCAGGTTTGAGAGGTTTGAAGTTCTGGCTGTATTTGCTTCTACGGTTCTGGCGCAGCTTGGTGCTCTTTTTATACTGAAAGAAAGGTAGGGATCTGCATGTTTTTCTTTGATTTTTCTTGCATAAGAAGATAGTCCACGTTGAGAATGCATATGCATTCTACCAGTGCTATCTGTAGTGATAAATTGTAGAAAAAATATTGATAAACCTAACCTCGAATTTCTATTATTACTCTGCATGGGAACTTGAAATGAAATGATAGGAATTGATAATTGGAATTTAACAACTGTCAAGGAAAAGATGGTGTTTTTAGGAATGATATTTTCCAAGCACTGTTAGGAATTTGATGTAATGTGTCTCCCTGTGCATCTTGACTTATTAAGCTAATTACTGAAGAAAACTTTTTTTGTGTAAGTTGCACCGTGAAGTGAAGCAACTTCTTAATGTGTTGAGGAGCTGAATGTTTAAGCTAGCAATTTCATCAGTCCCACAAAATTTGCTCTAGCTTTAATTTGAAGTACAAGAGGTTCCAGGTGTAGGTGGTGTTTCAGGTGTTTAGCATCAAAAGTTATTTAATTCTTAAAAAATGAAAAGGCCTTTGTTAACACCTAGAATGGAGGCAACTTATCTTCCTTTTCCCTTTTGGGAGGTTTTATTTCCTCTATCAAGGCGTGTATCAACAACGTAGAAATGTTACAATATTAGTTGATCTTTTGTCCCAGAATACACTGGAATGGATTTTAATAATGAGACACCATGAAAGCCTCCAACTTTTCTGGCACTGGCTTTAGGAAATTCCCTAAACTCATCCTAGGTTTTTCTTTGTTACAGCTGAAGGTTGTTTCTTATCTCATTGGTGGGTAAAAACAACAACTTTGTATCCCCACCACAGAGTCCAACCTCTGCTTTGTTTGACCTTAGTGAGAAGCTGTAAGTCAGGGATTTCAAACTCTTTGTTCTGATTACCTGCAGTAACAGTGGAGAGAGTAGCAATACTTTCTGACATGTTAATTTACAGGCATCTTTTTAATGTGTAGACAATACCTATGATAACTGTTGTGTACGTGGCATAGTGTGGAAATAATTGGAAAATTTATCCTGCTTCGTCTTAGTGATACATATTTTCATAATTTCAAAAACTGATGTGCTTACTTAAGTAATTCGTTTTCCCCAATATTATATCTGTTAGTTTTGTGTGTGGATGCTATTTTTTCAGAACATAAGTATGCTTCAGTTGTCAAGTCTTTATTGTATAATGTAACTCAAATTTTCCATTGTTTTTGCAGTGCAGAGCGATTTCTGGAACAGCCTGAGATACACACGTAAGAAATTATGTTGATATATGAAATGAGAGCTTTTTCACTTTCCCTTTGTATTCCTATTTCTTAGTCTAACATGTTGTAGTGGAAATGCTGAGTCATGACCTGAACCAGTGCTTGAGTACCTGGTAGGAAGGCAGGGCCGACCCAGGAGGAGCTCAGGTACATGCAGTGCATCTGAGTGACTGGAAGGGGTGCATCCTGGCTCCTCGCCTCCCCCAGACCTCATTTAAGGGAAGACATTAGGCATTTGCTATCAATTGTTCTTTGTCTCCTATAATTTTACAAAATTTTAGAGGTAGGCAGTTAATGTGGCTTTTTTTTTTTTTTTTTTGACATTTGGAGGCTGGATGCAGAAAAAGCACAGGTTAGTGCTCACGCTGTAGGAAAGGCTCTCTGTGAGCATGCAGGCCTGCTGACTGGCCTCTCAGTGCATTCAGTTTGCAAAGTGTTGTAGTGTCTGCTGCCTCTTGCTAAATCATGCATTGGGAGCCCTGGTATGTTGGAGGGAAAGATGCTGTAATCATTAGGGAACTGGATTTATTACAAAGATGATGATGATGACTGCAAAGAACATGGGAAAGGGAAAAGAAGGGGTGGAAGATGTGGTGAAATAGTAGTTCTAGTAAAGAGTAGGGGCCTTGTGCCCTTTCTGTAGAAAAACAAATATTATTTCTGCTAAAGGGACAGTACATTTATTGAACTTCAAAGGGCTGTGTGTGTAAATATACAGCTGCAGGTAAGGTATACATGTTTGTGTGTATGTGCATGTGTACAAACACACGTGTGCAGTTAGGTACTCAACATGATGAACATCGTGTTCAGTGTGATGTAATAATGCATGATATTTGGAGATTTCATTTTTTCCCCCTGGAATACCAGTATGCTGTCAGCTATTAGACAGCATGGTAATTTATCTTACTTTCACTTTTGATTTCAGTGAAAGCTGCTAAGAGACATGGATATGGCACTGTTAGCAGTAATTACAGCTTGGTGTCATGCATGTTGTTGATAATATGAAATAGCTATCCTTTTTTTTCTCTCCCTAGGGGACGACTACTAGTTGGTACTTTTGTGGCTCTTTTTTTCAACTTATTTACAATGCTTTCTGTGAGGAATAAGCCTTTTGCTTATGTCTCTGAAGGTATGTGATTAAAATATACTAAGAATTAAGAAAAGGTTTTAATGTTCCTTTTTTTGTGATGGTCTGGTAAACTTCCTTAACTAGCTGGTTTATGTTACTATTACTTCTGAGCTTAATGCAGTTTAGGATTGCATTCCAGATTTCATCACTGGTTTGCTTATGTGGCTCTCAGAATTTCTAGGTAGTTGTTGCTGAAAACTGAGTGTCACCATAATGCTGAAGTACCCTTTATTTTTTTATCTTCTAAATTCAAGGTCATATTTCAAATTTTACTTTAAAAACATTTGGTTGGTTTATTCATGGATGGAAAATAAATGAATGTAATAATTTCTCCCTAACAGTACTTTTACCTCCCACTTTTCCACTATAAAATAATCTTGCAAACAGTCTCACTAGCTGCTGAGACGCTGAGTATTTTGAATGCTGGTCAAGTGGGAGAAGTTGTTCTTTCCATGCTGTTCTATATATTTTGCCATACACAATGCTTCATTTCAGTGAATGTAATTTTGTGTAAATTGTGTAATTATAATTACTATATATGCATTATACTTTATGTGAGGTAGAGATAACTACGTTGAATGTAACCTGAAATTATATTTGTATTTAGTCATTTCAGGTAGTTATATGAAACAAGCATTTTACTTACTGCCTAGAAAGGCCAGGCTTTGTATTGTTAATATGACAGCGATTCTGCTGAGGTGCATTTGTTTATTCACAGTGTAATGGATTCTTCCCTTAAAATAAAACTTGAAGTATTTTCTAAAATGGTTTGCTTTACTTGTAGTCATTTTATTAACTTTCTTTTGAAGCTGCAAGCACAAGTTGGCTTCAGGAGCACGTTGCAGATCTCAGTAGAAGGTAAAGCTCTGTTTTTTTTAGCAGTTAACTTCTGGGTGGCAGTGTTGTTTTTTGTGCATAATAGCAATTTTGAAAGATGTTGAGACAAGAGCTGTTGCTTTTTAGAGGTTTTTAAGCAGCGTTGTCTATTGATCCAACTTGTGGACTCCAGCCAAAGCATCATCTCTCATATTTCCAAGATGTGTCAATCTCATAGGAATACATCTTTCTGTATAACCTTCCTTTTGAATGCATTCAGTACATTGTATATAATTCTCCTTGGAAGGGGTGAGGTAAACTAGCTTTGCTTGGTACAGATCTGACTGCATTTCTCAACACCTGTTACCTATCTGGTCAATGTATCTTACAGTGATTTTTTTATTTTTTTATTTTTTACTCTGTATAACAAGCAAGCAGCTGGGATGATTGCAGTTTAAGTGTAATATGTGAAGCTGGCTATGGAATCTCCTCACCTATCCAGCAGAAAACTGGAGAGCCTGTGTCTTCCAGGCACTGATTCAAAGTTTCTTATTCATCTTAGCTTTTAATTCTCCTGCTGTACTCTTATCTGAAAGCAAGACAAAATCATTTTCAAATATTTTTGTCAGATATTAGAAGTGTTTACTTTTAGTTATACGTACCTTTTTGAGTACTTATGCTGTTGATATGAAAATATGAATCCCAAACTGTTGTAAAATGAGCAGAGTTAGAAGGGCTTTTAGGGTTCTTGGAGGTATCATTTGCTGTGACTGCAGGGTGTCGCATTCTGAAGTAGTGGGTCTAACTCTTATGGTTTTTGTGGTTTGGAAGTAGTAATGAACAGCTAGCTAACAACTGCTTGTTTGCTTTTGTTTCAGTATTTGTGGAATCATCCCAGGACTGAGTAGCATCTTTCTACCACGGATGAACCCTTTCGTCTTGATTGATATTGCTGGAGCTCTAGCTCTTTGCATTACATATATGCTCATTGAAATCAAGTATGTATAGTTGTTTAATGAAATTCATTTTATATCCATTCTGAGGGAAGTTGCTTTTTTTTTACGTGCAAAGAGTGTTCTCATCAAAAGCTGCATTATGTATGAATGAATTTGCAGTTGCATTAATGTATTTGCCATTTCTCAAAGATACATAGTTAAGATCTTCTCAGTTAGTATGTAGTTTCATCTGATTTTTTTTTTTTCATTCATTTAAAGTCCTCATGCCTTTCAATAATAGCACTCCCTTTTTTCCCTTATTGTTTTTCTTCAGCAATTACTATGCTGTAGACACAGCGTCAGCTATAGCAATAGCTTTGATGACATTTGGTACAATGTACCCCATGAGTGTCTACAGTGGGAAAGTACTGCTCCAGGTAAGGCACTATTGCAAAACTGTTTTGGGAGGATTTCAGTTTTGTTAAACGTCCTTATCTGTTTTAAGGTTGTAAATGGGAAATGTTCCAAGAGGAATGTTTGATAAGGGGCCAGAGGAATTGTAAAGACAGTAAAAGCGTTCAGCATGAGGTAATAAGAACGCGTTGTGTCATGTCCTTGGGCTTGTGTAGGTAAACTGGTCTTAAAGGCTCTGTTATTTAATCAGAGCCAGTTAATCTTTAGTGTGACTTTTCTTTTTTTTTCAAGACAACCCCACCACATGTGTTTGGCCAGTTGGATAAACTTCTTAGAGAGGTAAGAAGTCGTTCACAGCCGGTGTTAAGTAAGCAGTCGGGAGTATGAAGAGTTTTTATGACTAATCCAAGATGATCCCTCAGAGATTTCTTAATTTTTTTTTTCAATATAGAAAATGTGGAGTTTATTATCTAAGACAAGTAGTGTCACAGAGCTGTCTGGCACATACCTTTTCTAGCAGTGTGTGTTGTTGGTCAGTTGATTCTTCTGAGTTTTAACCTACTGTGGAAGAGGCTCACCAATGTAAGTTGAGAGAAAGAGGAGTAAAGAATGCTGTTTACAGGCAGCATATCAAGTTTAGACGATGTTTCAGTTTTACAGTGAGAGCTACTTTAACCTGAGCTACTTATATCCACTTTTTCTGATGGATTTGGATGTTTAGAGAAAGTGGTAGATAAATATTTGTTACAATTAACAGATCTGTTCCATTTTGTTGTCTGGAAGCTGTTGTTTCGTTAATGAAAATGTTGGTGTTCAGCAGTGTGAATAAAAATTCTAAATATTCTAAGAAGATCTGAACTTTTCTAACTTCTCACATTTCTGGGTATTTGTGGAAAATTAGGTTTCAACTTTGGATGGTGTCTTGGAAGTTCGAAATGAGCATTTCTGGACATTAGGTTTTGGCACTTTGGTAAGTAATGTCTTCGTTGTCTTTAAAAAAAAGTGTATTTAAATAAAAGGAGTAAGATATTTCTTTTAAAGAAGAAAGAAAACAGATGCATTGAGTCAATGCTCAGTCTTTTTCTGTGATTTATTAAAAAAAAAAATCTTATTTTCTCCCATCTTATGTTTTTTTAAAGCGTTGTTATTGGTTAATTCTATTCATGTTTGTAGCAGCTCTGAATTTCAGACCTTATCCTGTATTTTGGCATTCCACACAATAGTAAAGACATTTTTCAAAACATGTTGGTGTAAAAAACGTCTCTATGAAGAGAAAAAACCTATGGACCTCTATGCACAAAAGACCTGCAGTATTTTCAGCATTTATACATAACAGAAAAAAAAGTGCAATGCAACTACAGATGTACACTGATATTCTACTGAAAGACAGAAGGCCTTTTTAGTGATCTAGAATGATCACAAACAACTCAGTTGTTCCTGAATCGATGTTGTGACAGTCAGAAAATTAGAACTGTTAGATTTCTTTTTATTATTTCTACTTTATTGTTCCATTAAGCTACTTTTTGGAAGGAGAAGAAAGACTTGGTTAGACCTTTGCGTGTACATTTTCTACTGGCACCTTCCAGATTGCAGTAGAAACTTCCAGAGACCTGGGTATGCTCTCAACTGCTCCATCTGACATAAAAATACCCTAAATTAGGAGAGGCTGTGAAGTATTTTTTTATTAAGCATGAACAAAAAAAGATGCGAGGGGTTCATTTTGTGTACTTTTCCATCAGTAGTTCTAGGTGAGCAATGCAGCATTACTGAGAGGTAGGCAGGGATAGCTCACAGACACTTAGGCTTTAAGGAGAAAGTCGGTCTGAGTTCCCTGAGGGGCAGTGTCTTTCCTTCATTCTTGCTAGTGGTTTCATTTTTAGCATCTGCCATGCACTTTGTTGACTTTGCCTTCTGTCTGCTCCAGCAGCCTAGCGATGATACGTTTTCTTTCTTCAGTGTAGGAAGTTCTGCACAAATGTGCGCAGGAACTTCTTTACAGTGAGGTGACGGAGCACTGGAACAGGCTGCCCAGGGAGGTGGTGGAGTCTCCTTCTCTGGAGATGTTCAAGACCTGCCTGGATGCCGACCTGTGCGACCTGCTGTAGGGAACCTGCTTTGGCAGGGGGGTTGGACTCGATGATCTCTGGAGGTCCCTTCCAGCCCCTACTATTTTGTGATTCTTGAGTGTGAAATTGAGATTTGTCTGTGCTTGCTTCTTTGCTTGGGCCTTTTTTGTTGTTGCCTTTTGTTTTCATGCCATCACATGTTGTATTTTATAGTTCAGTTTGAAGACTCAACTCTTCCTGAATAACGATCTTGATGTTGTTCATGAGGTCGACACATTAGCAAAGATCAAAATCTGTTCCAGTAATGGAATTCTTGGATATGCTTCCCAGTTTAGTTAAAAATCTCCACTGAGAAAGGTCTTTGTGTGATTCTCTGCAGGATAACTTTGCTTCTTCTTGAATGCTTGTGGAGAACCTTACGAAGGTGCTAGTTATCAGCCAACTTACTCTTATCATTTTTTTAGGCTGGATCAGTACACGTCCGAATTCGAAGAGATGCGAATGAGCAAATGGTACTTGCCCATGTCACTAACAGATTATACACATTGGTCTCAACCTTGACTGTTCAGATTTTCAAAGATGACTGGATCAGACCTACCTTATCATCTGTGCCTATAGCAAACAACATGCTGAACCTTTCGGATCACCATGTTATTATGATGCCGTCTTTGAAAGCTGCTGACAACTTGAACCCTGTTACATCTACTCCAGCAAAGCCCAGCAGCCCGCCACCGGAATTTTCTTTCAATACACCAGGCAAAAACGTGAATCCAGTTATCCTTTTAAACGCTCAAACAAGGCCCTATGGATTAGGCCTTAATCATGGACCCACACCTTACAGCAGTGCACTCAATCAAGGATTTGGAATACCGGGAGTGGGAGCAACTCAAGGATTCAGAACTGGGTTTACAAATGTCCCAAGCAGATATGGAACAAACACTCGTGGTCAATCCCGACCATAATAAACAGCATTATTTATTGTACTTAAGGGTATTGACTTAATTATTTTATTACCCAATTTTTATGAACATTTGGAATGTCAAAGCATTCTGAATGGCTGGGAACAAGTGCATTGTTCATATTTGTGAAATGGTTATATTGCTTTTTTTTCTTTATGTTAACAGTAGCCTGCGTAATGCCACAAATGTTTTCCAGACTTACGATACTTTGCAGGTAGTTTTTATAGTGTCTACTTTCATTCAGCTTTCTACTCACTCTCCTTTTTTCCCCAATAATGTATCAAGATTACAGCACAACTACATAAGAAAGTAAATTTGTGACAAAGTAATGTTTTTAACTAATGAGAGCAACTTACTGAGTGCTGGATGGTTGAGAGAAAAGGAAACCGCAGATGTGCAAGACTGTTTTTGAGGATGTTTTGATTGCTATATTAAGCCACGTTTTGGCAAAGTCACAATTAGTTTTTCCAGGGTTGCAGAAGTCCATCAGTTCTCATTTTGTGGCCATTGTAAGGACAATCTGGCATTTCAGATTCTAATTAATTTTACGAGACTCAGTTTTTAACACTTTTGTTGTTGATGCCTTTGTAGAAATTCAGATGGCTCAGCAACCATTTTCTAGCTGTAAGTTTTCCACATCCATCTCTGATATTTCTTTTTTATTTAATTTCGGAATAAGCAATATACTGGGAAATAAAGGATTTCAAACTTAAGATTTTAGAAGCACCTCTTTTTTACAGTTAACCCTGCTTAAAGATACAGAACAGATGTCTGTTTTGTTTCTGAAGCCAGTATTTCATTTTTCACTATGGAAAGTATTTGCTGATTTGATTGTGACTTTGTATTTTGCCTCTTTGTATTTTTCCTATAGTTTTAGGAGAGAAAGATTACGTACTTCTCTGCCTAAGTTTGTGTCCAGAATACTGTCAGTTCTTACAGTCGGTGCTGGAGTGCTTAACATTCAGGGCACACTGGGAACAAGACTGCCTAACTGTCTCTGCTTTTGCATTATTGTTCTACTGTGCATATAGAAGGCCCTATTTCTTCACGGCCTTTCTCAGAAAGATTTTCCCTCTGCTTGTTTTTTCTGCTCTGCTCTGATGGTAATAGGGAAAGGCTTTGTAGAAGAAAGTCAGCTTTTTTTATTTTTCTGTCCTGCCTTGCAATATGCATCTTTTAATTCCCCAGCCAGTACCTCCTTTGCATTTCTTCTGCATCTCTTGGCTGTTCAGGAACGGGTTGCCCATCTCTATCGTTTCACTTGCAGCTCAGGGTGCTGTTTCTTGGCTTGCACCTCATTATTGTGTATCTGAAGTCTCTCCATTTGTCCCAGGTAGAGAGCTGTAGTATCTCAGGGACTCCAAGTGTAATAATGTTTGTTACCTGAAGCTAATGAGTTCGATAGAGAGCAAGATCTTGTTCTCCTGTAGAGCTGAGTTGAGAATCAGCTGCCTTCATTTGAATTTTCAAGATCTGTGGACTCAACGTTGGCTGAGGATTTTTCCTTTTTTTCCATCTGTGTTTTTTCTCTGCTGCCTCTGACGCGTGGAGAAGGGCGTCACTCCTGTGAACAAAGTAAGGTGACAGTCTGCACAGAGGCCCCTTGCTGGGATTTTGTAGTCTGAAGTTAGTGTCCAGACTGCCACTGGCATACAGTAATGTAAGTTACACACGGGGGATCTAACTCTGTACTTAATTTGCAGCAACAATAATAGTTTCACTGCTGTCTTTGAATACGTAACCATCAGGAAAACATCATTTCAAAATCGTGGCGCTCCAAGGTCGGCGTTAGCTCTGTAAGCACCATCCTCTCATTGCTCTGTGTTCATGCGTAGTCCATTGGACGTGCCGTTGCTGCATGGAGACTCACAGAAGTACAGAATGCTTCCACAGAATTCCTGTACCTCCTGGGTGCTGAACTGGGCTGCACTCTGCACCACCTGCAACAGCGTAGTGCCAGCAGGATGTTTACATTTACTACTCTCACGTGGCCTATTGCAGAGTTGTTCCTTACTCCAATTTCATAAGCAACTTTTCCATTTTGGTGACATTTGAAATATATTGTACTATATTGCTTGCATGCCTACTTGTTTTTAGTAGAAAGTTAAAGCTTCATTTTATTAAAAAATAAATAAAAAATGAAGCTGATCTTTGATTTAAAATGCGAAGGCAGAATGGAATTCCAGAATTCTGAGTGCAATATAATCACTTGAACAAAATTATTTTTGGAGTGATTGTTTATATATATATATATATATATATATATATATATATATATATATCTCACATGTGCAGATGATAAAGGTTCTTTTAGAGATTAGAACAGCTTTTTAGCTGCTTTATTGTAATGAATATAATTCAGAATATTTGTTAAATCAACAGAGAGTAAAATGTCTCCTTTTATAAGAGGAAAATAAAATCAGTGTCATCCATGAATGACAAGGAAAAAAATGGTAATTTGTGTGCAGAATGTTGTAGTTATCTTTCACTTAGAGAAACAGATGTAGTTTATGGGATATACTCTGAAGTGGCACCCATCTACACATTGAACTGTAATTTTTGCTGGGCCTACTGCCAATGTAGATTGGTCCTTGTAATATTTCTACCCAAAGCATTTTTACTGCACCTTATCTTTTCTAATTGTATTTTATTTGTTTGTTGCTAGGTGCTCACAATCAAAACAATTACATGGGATGTGGCTATGAACTGCTCATTTCTTTTGTCTTCATTCCTGGCGATAGGATTGCTACTCCAGCGAGAGGAAGAAGAGGACTGGTGCTCACTCTTGCCATCATTTCTGCCTAGAGAACAGTCTGCATTGTTACTCCCTTAGCCAGTTCTTGCTGTGTATGCTTAGGATCACTTCACTTGTAGCTAAATGCAGCAAGTGCTGAAGAATGAGGATTGTGCATCATTACTTTCCTTGTGATGAACTTAAGAAAGGAGTTAAAGCTCGTGTTACAGCGCACATAACTAGTGTAAACCCAAACTGAAAACCTGTTGAGCTCTGACTCTTCAGTTTGTTCCCTTCTCCCTTGTTAATAACTTCATACACCTTGAGGAGGACTGTGACACGGCAGTGACAGCTTCCCAGGAATTGTGGATTCATTTTTTACTTGACAGAAGTGTGGCTAACCCTATTCAAGGGAAAGTCCTTTGCTGATTTCTTTAGTTTTAAGATTACTTAAAATCTCTCCTGGTGGTTTCTCTCCCCTGGTGCGGCCGTCAGACAGGGAAGGAGAAACCATCCAGGGAAATGAACTTCAACATAAAGCTGGCCTCTGAATTCTGAACTGATTATACCCACACTGCACTGCCAGTCCTGGTCTTGTCACTCGTACCTTCCCTGCCATTTTACCAGACTCAAGTTGGTACAGACTGTCTCCTACCTGCTTGTTCTGCTTTGGCATAGAAGTAGTGAGGACCCATCTTGTATCATGTCTTTACTGACAATTTTTGGAGCTTTAGATCCATAGTCACGTGGCTGCTGGGCTGATGTACATTTTCCATCAGCGGTTTTCAAATGAATGACAGGTCATTTAAGTTGCCAGGATGTTTAAGTTGCCCTCCTCTTCTAAAAATGACAGCTGTGTGCCTCTTGAAGGAAACTGTTTCTGGGCCTTACATGTAGTTAGAGAAAAAAGAAAATCATCCCTCTTTGTGTTAGAACCACTGAATCTTATTACAGCAACCTCTGTGTCATTTCTGTGAACCAAGTGAACTTCAGAGAATGGCACACTCAGGGACAATTGTTTTAAACTGCATAATTATAATGCTGTTTCAACTCCCTGTAATAGATTTGAAAAAAAAAACCACCTAGGCTTTCTCCAGTTACAACAGCCCCCTGGTCCCACGTTTCTTAATGAGGTCCGTTTTAGGTTAACCTTCACATTCTTGAAGAACCAGAGTAGCAGTGTGCATTGCACATGCATCATGAATTTTTCAAAGCATGAAGTACGTAAGAACACAAACTCTTGTCTCAGTTTTCTGTATACAGCTCTGCTGTTCTCTGTTTTGGTAACTTACACTGCTCAGTGTATTCTGGTTACGGAAGATGGCTATTTGTAATCTTACATTGGGGGCTGAAGTAGAGGGGTATATGATCACAAATAGATCAGGTAGCTTTGATGTAGTCATGAATGTGCAGTTAGATTTATTTGAAAAAGAAACACATCTGACCCATTTTTGGAACTTTATTTGCGTTCTACTTCAGAATTTTCATACACAGAAACATTTCTCACAAACAGTAAAATGATGGAAAACAAATTTTTTTTTTTTTTGTCCTATCTCAAGTACTAAAGACAGATCAACTTTCATTTTCAGGCTGCTATGTAATAGTAGCTTTTAACAAATTTGCATTGTTGTAAATACAAGTTCCCATTGAAACTTTAAAATGCTTGTAAATATTCTGCTTAGATTCAGAAATCTTTGATTTAGGGAAATGGTAAAATACTAAAATAGAAGCCACATCTGATGTGCCTATAGCTTCACAGCTTATTTATTTCCTTTTCTAAATCTCTGTGTCCAGTACAGAACTTTCTAATGAAGGAAGTTCAAAACAGGCAAATACTGACATCATCTTCTACTAGCTTAATTAACAACTATTATTGTATTGTTTTATTTTCTTTTTCAGATGTCCTCGTCATCTTCTCCCCACAGGAAACCATAATCCTGTATGTAGCTTTTGGATACTGCTGTTCTGGCCTCCTCTGTTAACTGATGTCATTGCAGGTAGATTTGTGCTGCCATAGTGCTACACTAAATGTACTGAACAGTTCCAGTAAGAAATGTACAAGTGCAGGGTTGTTAGAATGGTGAGTATCTTCTGAGAGAGGTTCTTGGCTTTTTGATGTCACCTTCTCACTCCTGTACTTAGTTCAGTCTTTATAGGTAGCACATTGCTTTTAAAATGGTACCTACATAAAACTGCAGTTTCTAAAATGATCACATTCATAGTTTGGCTACTTCTGATGTAGTCTGTGTTACAAACAGTTTTCCTATTATTTTGGGTGAAACTGTGAATGATTCTGAGGCGCACAAACGCTGTGTTTGGTCATTGCTCCCACACAGTGCCTGTTCTGTGTGCAGCTGAAGCATAGTGGAAGTCCCCACAGCACTTCCCACTGCTCTCACTCCCCACCAGCTTCTCCATCAAAAAGTATCCAGAAACGACTGGGAGAAATTTGATTTTTGTGCTGTGTTCTTGTCTCCTGCAGCCTCCCCCTGAGGGAAAGGAGGGAAGAGAACAGAGAGAGTAACAAATCCCTGTTGTGTGTCAGGAGTTCTTGCAGCTGATATCGTGATCATGTGATTTGGTTCAGCCCAAAGCAAAGTTTGTTTTAATGTGATTTTTTGCCTTTTTTGGTAATGTATTAAAAAATTTCCATTGCTGAAGGCTGCTGAAGTTGGTAACACCTTGTAAAAAAATTTGAGCTGAACACATCTGAAGGCATCCCCTGCTGGATCTTAATGTGTGACATAAAAACGGTGATAACAATGTGGGAAAACTCTGGAATTTTATTTTGGTCTATCCAGAGGTAAGACATTGAAAGATCAAATTATTTCTGGGCTGAAACTAATTTTTATTTAATGCCATATTTTATTTCTTTATATGGAACATTGAGCTGGGAACAGCAGAAACAGTAATCAGTGTAACAAGAGCTATCGCCGTATTTTGCTTTGCTTCAGTGCACTCTGATGTAATTAAATAACAGAAGGGAAGGTGAGCAAACAACATTTAAAATGAAGTAAGATTTGCAGCCTACATTTCTGTCACAGGTTTAGATATTCCAGTACGAACACCTGGAGGATTTTGCTGAGATTCTCAATAGTGGTTTGGTCGAGGTTTTCTTCAGTGTCCTCCATAGTGTGCCATACTTCAGGAAAAGGGGACGGGATCAGATGTAGGACTGGAACCCCTGTGAGGAACAAAGTGAAATTTGGAAACCACGTTGGAGAACTTCTGTTAAGTAAGTTGATACACCACTGCTTATTGACAGTCAGATAACTACTCAGCTCACTTTCTGAAGGAGTGTATACCACTGCAGTCCTACAATCTTTTTTTTTTTTTTTTTTAAAGTCTGTGACTACAGCCCATCCGTTTCACTATTTGTTTCCTAAAATCCATACCCTCCTTCAAGCACTATCTTTTTTAAAGTATCTGCAGCTAGTAGTTGTACTGTGGTACCTGCCCCTTTGTTTTTCCTGGATTCCATGCATTGTAGTGGTTCAAGTTGTGTTTAGGAGCTAGAGAAGGGCAGAGAAACCACTGCAGCTCCCAATTACTATGTTCTTATGCCAGCGTTAGGATTTAGCATGTTTTTGAAGCAGTTCCTAGGCCTCTCCTTAAGTGGTAAATTAGAATGCCTGTATTTTTCTCCCTGCGAACAGAACCACTGTTATCCTCACATAAAAGGATTTACACTTTTAAATGTATTACTGTGTGTGTGTATGTTGATAGACATGAGCCACCAGTATGTTGATACATGATGCAACTTCTAGATAAAAGAACAACTCATTCGGCTGTCTCCTGATCCCTCTTTCAGGACAGTGGGGGAGCATTGTTTCTGTCCATCTTTCCTGTTTTGCCACTTTTCCTCATTTTTCAGCTGCAAAGAGGAATCTTTATTTTCACTGGGTGTTGTTTATATCATTAGAAAAGGTTTTGAGATGTAGTCCCTGACCGGTTTCTCCCATGTAGATTTTCTTATGTCCCTGGATATGTATGTGCTAGCTGCATGTATTTCATTGGAGCTGAGTCCTGCCTTCCAGAAATGAAGGACTCATGGAGCTGAAAATCCATTGAACAAGAGACTGTAAGTGCAGCTCAGGTAAAGGAGTGCTTGCTCAGAAGTGGGGAGGTATGACTGCACTCATCTGCTTGCAGAGCTGTGTACTGATTCAGCATTACTCAGTAGTTGTAGATCACAAGCAGACGTAAACAAAAGATCTGGTTATGGAAGTATCTCCCTTATTTCCTATGTAGATTTCCTATGTAGCAGCTTTGAACTCGTCTTACTTTTCTTCTGACCTTGTCCTTCTCTAGCAATGCAACTATTGTAGTCCTTGCTTATGATGGATAGCTTCAACTAGAAGAATGTGCTGTATTTGCTGTTCTTTTGTGGCTCACCTTTATTTAGAAGGTGCCATACCTAGTACTTGAACATCAAATCCACATCTTGCACCTGGGCAAGAGCTTTAATCACCAACCTGTAGCTGTGCAAGTTGGGTAGCACTAATGTAACCACTTTCCCTTTCTTTGGCTGCTTCCTGAAAGAAAAGAATGAACGTGGTGCCAGTGGTGTGGGTGTCTGCTGGGAGGGATCTTAGGTAGGGAAAATTTCAGGTATGCACTTAGTGCACATTATGCATGTTGTGTCCTTTGCCATTCTTACTGATTACTATATACACCTTTCCCATCTCTGCCCTAGTAAATGAGAGTCTAACTTGAATATTTTAGCTTTTGCAGGAGTTAGTGCCTTCAAATTTCAACAGGTAATTGTGAGCATTACTCAGTAAATTTGCCAAAAGGTCTTCAGAAACTTTTGTGATCTTTGCAAACGCAGCCCTTTTGTGTGTCTCGCTGCTTCTAGAAATAGTAAGCAGCAGGCTGGTGTGGTGTGTAGCGATGGCCCATTGGGTCAGTTACTCATCTTTGTGGAACACTGTAGTGCTGGCAGAAATTTCCATTATTTCTGTGCCGTTGGAGCTGTGCACATACAAAATGATGGTAAGGATGGTTCTATCTCTGCTTTTCCTCTATGTTTTTCAAAGCTACGACTAGGCCTGCATAACATTGGAGTTTGAAGCCACAACCTGGGGCAAATAAGCTGGAAAAAAACAAGTTCATATGCATCTGTTTATTTACTAAATGGAGCTTTGGTTATTGAACTTGTATTTTAAAAGCAGTATTAGAACTGCCAGTACCTCTCAATAGAAATGGAACGTGGTCATCCTCAACCAAGCCTCGATATACGTTATTCTGGAAATACTGTGTTTCATCAAGGTGATTCTTCAACAGATTCATACCGTGTAGCTTCTGCTCTGTAATTCACAATGGAAGTGACTGTTAGTTAGTGACTGTGAAGTGACTGTTACAGCTTTTGGACAATATAAGGCATGTTACCACAAATGAATTTTTCCACTCTTGTGGAATCTTTTTCCATTAAGCAAGAAAAAGAAGCTGGTGACTGTCTTTTGCATTTGTTTAGTACTTAGAAGACCCCAAGACTGATGCTGTTACCACTGATTTACAGAAGTAAGAACTAAAACACAAAAGTGAAGCAGAACCCAAGAGTCACAAAGTGGCCATCAGAATCATGTTTTCCAAGTGTCTGTGAATCATAGTTATTTTATTAATTAAACATGTATGAAGTTATCAGTTTTGAAGATGCACCAAATTTAATGTTTGCATCATTAAATGTTAGAATTGTAAACCAGAAAAGTAATCTAAAAATCTGATTTAGATGGCTTTTTCCTTTGAAAACTATATCCTAAATCTTTAAATTAAGAGCCCATGCCCCTCTCCTTACCAATTGCTTGAAGCCTCTGAAACCATCGGCTAGTGTTTGGAAAATAATTGGGAAAGACAGGGTTTGGTGCGCCTATTAAATCCAGTAGTACCAGCAGGTCCTACAGAAGAAAGAATCTTTAGCACAGTATTCTTAAAGTTACCCACCACCACCAGCAGCAGCAATGAAATCTCTTGGTTCCTGTGCAGATGATGACTGGGTCATTGACAGCTCCTTACAAAGATCTGGCTTTTCTACCACAGTACCTGAGAAGAACTCATTAGCAGAACCCTATTCAGACCCAATGCATCTTGTTGCCTTTCCAAGGAGGAGGGACAGACTGTTTGTCCAGTCCTCTTTCTGAAGAAGGCTGTGTTGCTTTGTTTACAGTTTATAAGTTATATCCCTTTAAAAGAATATGTTATGTGGGGAGAAAAAAGAGAAAATTACTTCTTCCCTGGAGAACAGCTTCTGTCAAGGGAAAGACATTTTATGAGTCACAAGATAGAGTGACAGTGGCGGAGCAGTGAGTTGGGAAACCAGAAGGGAGCTGACAAAATGTTGTAGGAATCAAAGGACAACCCTGAGAGCTTGCTGTAACTCTGAGATGTCTGACTCCGAGGCTGAGCTGGGCGGCTTTTTTTTTTTCTCTTCAAAGAATCTTATTAGTTCTGTGCTCTTTAGTGATCATGTTGAAGAATCTCTATTAAAGGAGGTAGGTGCCCTAGTTTATACTGTAGTAAATTTGAATATTACATTTTTTTTCTACAAATCCTCATACTTGCATTGAGTTTTGTGCTGGTCCATCTGAAAAGCTCTTGCCAGCTCCGTATTTTAGCATGTCTAAATTTTTCACAAGCTTGCCTCAGTTTAGGTGAGGTTCTTGGTTTCTTGGGTATTTGGCTTAATTGATTATTAAACAACTGCAGTTTGCTATTACTACTTATGGAGGTGAAGACACTTACCATGCCCTGGAGTCTGTTTGTGGTGGTTGAACCTGGTGGATGTGGAGTAGATACCATTTTTTGAGCCAAGTGTTGAGACCCATAGAGGGAATCAGAAGGGGACCACCGGACAAAAGCTTCTTCTCCATCAAAAAAGATAAGCTGAAGTGAAAGGTCTGGTCTTGATGTTGAGCTTGTCTGTTGGAAGAAGTAAAAGGTGGCAGAACTGATTCTGGCCAGAGCATTGTGTAAAGAAAGAATACTGCAGTCAGATAAGCCCCTTTGGTATGGGTGTATCTTCAGAGTACTGTATGCAAGCCTTCCTATGGACATTAATCTCAAACATGTCATGGTGACATAGTGATCAATTATTATTACTTATTAATCTAACACAATGACACATCCCCCACCCTGGCATGATTTTTGGTTCTGGTTGAAAGTTTTATTTTTGGCTTCAGTGGATGTAAGGTGAGTATTTTGAGAAAAGTCTACAAAACCAAGTAGCCAGAACATCATTTTGAGCAGCAGAGGAGACATGTCAGCAACGGCATCTGAGGTGAGTGCTGTGAATACTGTGACAGTGCCTCAAAGGAATAGTATTCCTGCTACAGTTCTGAAGTGGGGATGAATTATGAAAGGCTTATGGTTCATTGAGGGACAAAGAGCAGTCAGTCATGAGAATGATCATTTCTTCTTCTTCAGGGATACTTGCAGTCACTCAGGTAAATTTACCCTGAAACCGAAGAGAGAGGAATAGATACACTCTTCCTCTTTGGCCACCAACAATATCACAACAGTGAAACTGTTGAGAATATATACATGATTATTGTATTTAAGGTCACAAAGGAGACATCTATGTAAAATTCCTTCTCAAGGCAGAAGGAGCCTTCTTTTTTTCTGTTTACTAACTGAAGCCTTGTTTGTTCTGGCAGCGCTTCCTAGTAACTTACAGCATGGCTAAACCCAGCTCAGCTCCACTATACGGGAACTGTGATGTTGGCAGTTGCTGTGAATATTTTAACCCCTCTATGAATAATTTTTTCTTCAAATGGAATTGCATGATGTGGTTAAAAAGGTGGGGTCACTGGCAGCAGTCACGTCCTGTATGGGCCACAATTCCCAACTGGCTGGAGCTGATCCAATGCAAACAATAGAGGAAAACCTCTATAAAATGTTACTCATGTAGGCAAGATGATTATTGATTATGCCCACAGCAATGTATGGATTTTTTCTAATGGCACTGCCTTGCTGCCCTTTGTCCTTCGCACAGAACAGACCTCTTCTGATAGCAGTTGTTTTCATTACATTTTGGAGGAAATGGCATTAACACCATCTGAATTTTAGAAAGCAGTATTTGCCATTATTATTAGTGCTTAACGTGTTCCTAGGTCTGGATAATGTAAAGAGATCTCTTTGCCCTTTTAATTTTAAAACTTACTCTTGTATAACTGAAGAAACATCAAGATAAAGATCGCAGTTTCAAGTATAAATAGATTTGGCTGAAAGCATAGCAAAGTCTGTTATGCTGCTGTGAGCAGAGCAAAAAGGTCACTGCTAATGGATTAAGCAGATGGGTCCCAAAGTATATTTTGTTAATGGGCTGTACGAGTGATGGTCTGTGCAAAGTAATTAGATTGCTTTTCTGTCAAATGCCGTCACCTTAATGAAAACTTAATCAAGAAATAACATATTACCTGCCAAAAAAAAAAAAAAAATAATCCAATCTGTTGTTCCAGAAGTAACAGGCAGGCTTATTCTAAATGAAGCTTGTAAATGGAGTCTGCGTGTGTTCACAGAAGTGCTTCATTTTTGCAGTTAAAAACCATGGCATATCCTTAGTCTTTCCATTTTTAAATCTTCTAATGTCAGAAGGCAACAAGTCAGTTCTGGAGACAACTGTAAACAGCTGATCTCAATACCTGAACTGAGTACATTCCACTAGTTAGCAAAACGTTTGAGGAAGCTTCCTGTGGAAATCTGTTGGTGTTTGGTGAGCATTCTGTCAGTAGTAAACACCGAGCCAGTAGATGGCACTCGTAAGTCTGTGAAATAGCTCCGAGAGATTTTTGTGCCCAGCAGTGGCAGTGCTGGGAAGCAAATTTTCCTGTGGTCAGAGTCTGATAATGTAATCACGTTACTTGTCTGCATTCCTCCACTCAGATTGCTGTCGTTCATCTATTAAATAAACGACTCAAACCGATAAAGGAAAACAGGAAGAAAATGTTGAAGTTGTTATGGGCTGGGGGCATGTGACAGCGTAACTCCTCCACAGCAATCGGTTCAGCTGTCTCCCAGTACAACAGGGAGACTTTAAAAATGCATCATTCAGAAAGAAACGTAGTGCTTTACTTAATAGGGTAGGAATGGCTGGATAGGATTCTGTGCTTTTTATGTATAATGAAGAACTATATCTCATTAAGTCTATTAAGTGTGTTCTCCATGTGTAAATTGCTTTAATATAGTGTATATAAGATATTCACACTTTGCATGTGAGTTTGTAATGTTATCCTGTACTAAAGCACACGTGTACAGATCTCTGTTCAGTTCTTCTGGAATACGATGGGGATCTTCCTATAGGCACAGCAACCAGGGAATCAGACACAGACCAAAAGGGAGAGCATGGAAATGCCCTCAGGTCTATTGCTATTGCAAAACCATATGAGAAGGAACCAAGCCAACTACCTGGATGGACTGAAGCTTGTTGTCCAGGGCACGTGCCAGCTCCAGCATCATGGCACAGGGCACAGCTGAGTCGGTTGCTCCCACAAACACTCTTCCGTGCCACTGTGGGCCAAAGAACTTTGAGTCGTAGTGACAAGCGAGGACCAGGTGGCGCTTTGCAGAGGGGTTGAGAGTGCTGATGATATTTGAAAATGTTTGATACCCATAGGGTGTGTACTTCTGAAAGGTATCTTCTTCAATTTCCCAACCAGCCTGGAGTCTTTGAAGACGCTGCTTGATGTGCTGCAATGAAATATATATTTGTATATATACCAAATGAATATTACTGAAGGAAAGGCACTGCAGACAAATTATCAGTAGCTAATTAGCAATAGTGGCTCTGAAGCTTATTTCTGGTGTTTTTAATAGATTACTCTTATAGCAAAAATGATTATAATAATCATGCCACTGTACAAAATAAGATAAGCATCATCCTCACTGCCTTAGCCTACCCTCTGACTGGCTCACTCACTTTTCATCTCTCCGTTCTGTCCCTTGTAGTTGGAGTCTTGAGATAGCTTAGAGTGATTGCCCATCAAGGTGATGTTGTTGAGGTGTTGACCTCTGAAGTCTCCAAGCCAGACTTTTCCAGGGGTAATTAGGATTGATACAGCATTCAAATATAAACTCAGTTGTGTCCTTAAGTGTCAAAACTGGCTGCAGAGAACTTGCAGCTATTTTGGCAATTGCTATGTATAGTCTCCATAAATACAACATTGGCATTTTTGAAAATATTGGTATTTTTACCTTCTAAGAGAAATTTGCCTTTCAAGTGGCATAAGTTGCTTGCGAGGCTATAAAAGACAGTGATGCCTGTCAATTACAGAATAAATGAAGCATTTCAGAATGTCTTAGAAATGAGGCCCTTAATAAAAATTGATGCAGCGGATCTAAGTAAAGGATGATTCATTTTTAGGTAGCTTCATGTTTAAAAGAATAAATCTAACTACTCAGGCTGTACTTAGTACAGAATTCTAACTGACTCTTATTAGAGGGCCATCTCTGTTGAGCAGCTGATTTTTATGTGTCCCTAGAGTGCTTCTTCAAGGCAGATTCCTCTCTCTCTAAATAAACATTAGCAAAAGCCTCTAAGGGAAAAAATGGAAATAGACTTTGAGGACTTGTCCTGCTCTCAGTGAAGTCAGTAAGAATGCTGCCATAAATTCTGTGTTAGAAGAAGCTTCCATTTTGCTTGTGGTCACCTTCTGGAAGCTTTTATGGCATCATATGGCCTCCCCACCATCTGTAGGACTACATCAACAGAGCAAAGGACTTCTGTTATAGAGGAGTACATAAGCCTGGGTGAAGTTCCCAGGGTGCACTATCTGTGAGTGGAACCACCCTCTCCCTTCCAGGAGTCTGATGTTTTTCCCTGTCTCAGGGGAGGATTTTTTTTTTTCTACTGCAATATATGCTGTTACCTTGTAACAAAATGATCCTTTTTTTGAATGTAATTTGTGGTTTTCTATTCCAGGCTGTCCTGTTGTTTGTTTTTCTTCCTTTTTTCCCTTTCAGCTGGCTTTCTTCTAGTGTATGACTAAGGAAACCACAAAACTAAATGTATAGAAGCAACCAGTATAAAAAAGCTGCATTTTCCTCACCTACCATTTGTAGAGTGGCAAATAAGCTTATTGTAGTTAGGGGTGTCATGGAGCTGTTGAGTTGATTCCTAAAGGGTAGATGACGGTTCTTGAGATGTTGCAAATGCCTTCTAAGTAATCTGGGCCATGCCAGTGCTTCAGTCTCTGGGCTGGCTGATATAAGTAGGAGTGAGTGTGGCACACAGCCTTGGAGATGCCTGCACTGTGAGATCCTACTCATGCTGAATCCTTGTGGCTGAAGCACAATATGCTGGAGCTCTCACCAGCCTGGGGCCAAGCACGATGTGGCTGTGCTAGCCCAGCACTATCATGCTGCTGTGCTGCCTATCCAGGCTGCCCACCTGTGTGGACCTCTGTGATCCCTCCAAGGCTCACCTGGATGGATTAATCAACTCTAACAGGACCTCTCCAGGACAAAGAGTGGGGATGTGTAGGATTCCAGGTGTTTGAACCACCAAAATCCTGCTCATGTGAGGAAATGGACAAGCACTGTGTTATACTTCAGTTATCAGACCTGGGGTCAGCTTCTTAATTTGAAACCTGAAGTTAATCTTTCTTCTTGCCATGCAGCCCTGGGAAGTAATGCTAGCTGAAGTGCAGGCTGTGTCTTGTAGACACTGCATGGTGTGCACTAGCACAAAGGTCAGGTTCATCTACCACATGAGAGGAACTTGTCCCTTTGTGGTCCCTAAAGGCTCTACCAGCAAATAAAGAATAGGTGTGCTTAGAGGTTGGCAGAACTGTTTCCTTACCTGTCGTACGGCGTGATTTCCTGGTGACCCTGGGTATCTTTCTATCAGGATGGGGCGCAAATCGTTCTCCCACATTTCAGAAACATCTGTTTTTTCTGCAACATTTTGGATAGCATCAGGATGTAAAGTACTTGGTTGGTGAGAATACTGGAGAGAAAAAGGAAAGATTGCTGCAACTGTTACTGAAATTTTTTTAACCATAGTCGTTTTCAGAATTATGATTATATGAATTATGGAAATGTTTCAGTATATGGAGCTATTTTGGTTTACTGACAGTTATTTTAAGAACAGATTTTCTGACAAAAATTTAGAAAAAGACATTTTTAGGTTCTGTGGCTTTTCTAGCTCTGATTTCCATGTAAAATTAATACTAAGAACATGGGAGAAGTAGTTACCTACTAACCAAACTCTGCCTTTTATTGAGTTCTTTTTTCTGATATCTTAATTATATGTATTCTACAGTCATGTCCTCAACAGTGCCTCCTTCGAGTAAAGATTTCTTTGTGACAAACCCCACAAGCCTTATTTTGGCAGCAATAATATTTAGCTTTATGGTCTGTGCACATTACAGGGCACAGCACTGCGAAGAAATGCATCAGCCAGCTCAGTCCTAGAAGAGTGGTGTTACCGTGGCTCTATCCACAAGGGCAGAGTTGGTGTGACTGCACGGTGCAATATAGCTCTTTCAGAGTGTACTCAGGTCCATATCAGTGTTGTTAGCCTTGAGTTAACCTCAGAAGTGGCAACTTCTCTCCTGTGATGACAGCCAGTAGTGCTAGCTACTTCCCAAGTGCTTCTTTTCTCTTGCCTAGGGATGAATCTTTGGCACTGTTTGAGATGCCCTGGAATACCTGTCGCATCTTTGTGGGGCTGGCAAATCCATCAGGGATGAGCCTTATGATGTCATGGAGCAACAGCTGAATGCCAGGCGGGAAATTCAAGGACATCTCAAATGCTCTTTGGCTACCAGGTTCGAACCTACTCAGACTCCAGCGATTGTCTTCTCGGGAACTTCTCAAGCCACCTTTGGTTTTATAGATAAACATGATAGGTACTATCATAGGATATTTGTATCCTACCCATTCTGTGTTTCTGTCACAGGGAATTCCTTCTGGTCCCCTCTCCCATTGATATACCTTGCTGTGTTTGCTCATGCTTTGCTCAGAACTGCCATACAGGGTTGATGAAACTTGCCATTCTTCAGTCTGCCCCGCCTACCTCATCCTTTTTTCAGAAAATGAAAGACAGAGAAACAGGAGCAGGACAGAACCACAGTTTATAGTGCAGGAGAATGGTATTTTCTATTTTATTCTTCTCCTGTCTTACAAATGCTTAACTGTGGAGTTGCTTTTGGGCTGCTGGTGCACTGAGCTGATGTCTTCTTAGATGCATTTACTCTCACTTCAGCACTGAATATATTAACGACAAAAAAATTAAAAAATCATTCTTTTCCTTGCTTCCTCACATGCATTGTTTAATCTCTGTCTAAAATGACTGCAGAAAATCATTCCTTACCTGGTCATCAAGCATGCTGCCCTTCGGACCTTCTGCAGTTCCTGGAATTACCTTTTATCTTAATTAATTAATTAGACAAATATGGTTAAAAAAAAAAAAAAGTTGCTGTCTCGCAACTTGTCACCTTTCCTCCTTTGTTAGTTTGTGTTGAGCAAAGCAGATACCAGCACAGCTGTTTTCTGGACTTGACTATACATTAAGCATTTAATTCTCCTCATTCCAGTTTCCCTGCTGTTGTTTGTGTGAGGACCATTCCACATACATAGATAAGGCAGACAGGAGAAATGTCAGAAGCGATCTGCTTAGGAGGAAAGAAGGGATGTAGAACTGCATGCTTTAGGAGTGGGAAGGACATCTGAAGAAGTGAAAGGCTCTGTGAGGATGCTGAATAGCAGCAGAGCTTTCCTGGTAGCTGGGGTCATGGAAACACTTCGCAAAGAAATGTTTTTGTTATAGTACAAATGTATAAAAATGCTTCAGAAGAAAGGAATACATTCTCACTCATACTAGTGAAAATACACTCAAAGCTGGGAAATGAAAGGCATTACAAAAGCATTCGTGAAGTAAAAGAATGGAGTGAAGTGTGCTGGTGGCTCATTCCTTGGGATTGCTCAGTCTGTTTGCTGCAGGATGGGGTGGCAGCAGAGCAGTGTGTTCATGGCAGGGCTGCCATTGAGCCATCTGCACTAAGCTGTACAAATGGCAGCTTCTACCAGCAACCTGTACTTATCCTGCTGATTTGAGTACCTTCTGGCTCAGTGCCAATGGAAGCTTTCTTCTTCTGAGAGCTGGTAAGTTTAGGAGCTGGTTCTTCCTGCCTGTGTGAGCAGGAGGGAGTGGGCTGTGCACTCCTTAGACGTCCAGCTTTTGGCTCATGCTTCCCTTCAGGGGAAAAAGAGCAGAAGGGCCGAGAATCTGATGAGAAAGAGGAAGTGGTTCCTGGTGGGTGCCTGCCAGGGCCGAGGAGTTCAAGTGCCGTGGTTCTATGGTTAGTGGGAGGAAGCATGAGCATCATGAAGAAGCAGCTCAGAGGGTTGGAGTGAGATGAGGTGCAGAGTGTGTCACTGTGGCTGAGGGGGCTGAAAGATGCACTGGGGCTGCACAGCTGTGTGCTCACTGCCACAGCTGAAGGTCTGCTTCACTTACACAGTCTTAAATGTATGCACATGTAGGTACTCTAGCAGCTATTTTAGGAGTGTACATTCTTAATATGTGATAGATGTATATGTATGAATAACTGTGTATATAAATATATACACAGAGAGATAACAGGAGTAGAACAGAATGACGTTTCTGCTGATTTTCAAAATTAAAACCCACAACCTCTCTTGAATGGGCACTGACTGATATCAAGGGAAAAGTGAACAAGGACTGAATAGGAGTGACTGGGAAGGCATGAAGGTTGTCCTGGCTCTCGCTGAGGGAGGCAGAGAGCAGTGCATGGAGTCAGCGGAGCTCTGTGGTTCCAGGTGAGCATCTACAGCCACCCAGCAGAGGGGACTAAAGGAATACGATTCTGTGATTTTATCATTTTCCTTTTTGAAATCTGTGACTGCTTTAACTCAATGGAATTCACTGTTCTGCGATCAGCTGTGTTCCATGTGATTTGGTTCATTAAGAAGCTATGCTGGCATTTTGTAATCAGCCACTGAGAACTGCATAGAGAAACAGAGGCTACACATGTTGTTTCCTTAAGCATTACCTCAAGACTTTTTTTTCCCCGTAACTTCACGCAGCGTTTTAAATGAAGAAGAATACAGCGTGGCCCCTACAAGACGCTAAAATACTGTATCTTTTCAAAATCCCTGTGTAGTTGCCATCATCTCCACCCCATCCTCTTTCTCCTACCTCAACGTGAATCCCCTCGGGAAGAGCTCCTCGTTGTCTCCATAGCGGCGTTAAGTCTGACGGGGCTCCGGGAGCGCAGCCGCGGGCTGCAGCCCCTACCAGGCGCAGAGCTGCTCCCACCCCGCCCGGCCGTCGGTACCCGGAGCTGGGGCAGTCATCACCCCTCACCTGCGCCCACCCCGCCCGTCCCGGCGCAGCGCCCCCGGCACCGGGCCGAGGGACAAAGGACAAACCCGCGAGGCGGCGGAAAACCACAGCGGCCCGGCCGACCCACCTTCTGCTGAGTCCATCCCGCGTCGCTTTCCCGCCCCTGCGCCGGGAGCAGGCAGGCGGCGGCGGCGGCGAGGCACAGCACCCCGACCAGCCCCGCCATCCCCAGCTCTGCTGCGGGGAGGCAGCGCCGGAGGCTGGGCGGGAAGGAAAGAGGGAGGGAGGGAGGCGGCCGCGGCGGCACCGGGCTCCTCCCGGCCGCGGCCCTGCCGGGAGGCTCGGAGGGCTCGGGCTGGACTGGGCTTTGAGCGGCCTGACCTAGCTGTAGGTGTCCCCGTTTGTTGTGGGAGAGCTGAACCAGGTGGCCTTTAAGGGTCCCTTCTGATTCAAACGGTTCCATGATTCTGCGAAAATAGGTGCTGAAGTGAAATGTTGCAGCAGGTCAATTAAAATGATGAAAACAAGCAGGCAAGCTTCTCTGCACACGAGTCATTTAGGTCAGGCGGTGTCACTGTCCTTGGGCTGTGCTTTTGTACAAAACTTCTGGCCTTTGCGTTGCAGAAATTCCACAGAAAAGTCTCCAATTATCACGTTATTCTTAATGCTCGGGCTAGCCTCAGAGGACATTCAGGTTGGCTACCAGGGAAAGGTTCTTCACCAGAAGGTGGGTGGGCACTGGCACAGGCTCCCCAGGATGGCAGGCCTGGCCCCAGTCCTGTGGGAGTACAAGGACTGTCTGCACCACGCTCAGTTCTATGGGCTCCTTCTTAGCTGGTTCTGTGTGCAGCTGGGAGTTGGACTCGATGATCCTTATGGGTCCCTTCCAACTCTGGATATGCTATGATTCTATGCAACTGAAAGGAAAAAAAAGGTTAAAATGAAGGAGGGGAGAGGATCCTCTTGCTGCTCTCCAGCCTCATCCTGAGACACCACGTTCTGGAAGCACAGCATGGCAAGTATTCAAAGAGCCTGTGAGGCTAATAGCAGAGAAGCAGAGCCATTTGTCCATTTGCAGATCTTCGAACTAGATCAACAGATTTCCTAGAAAAGCTGGTGGTTCTGCTGCCCAGTGGACAGATGGGCTCTCTGCAGCTGACATTCTTACTGCCAAGTCAGCACCCTTATAAGTGGATACCAAGAATGTGGCTGTAACCAAGATTTCATAGATGGGGAAATAACAAGTTAGTGTATAGGAATGCCATTTTTCCCACAGAATTCCATACCTCATCTTTGTTAGGAAATCATTCCAAATGTAAAACCAAGCCACCACAGAGTAGGGAGAAATGGGCAATCATTTGATCACCAAGAAAGAGCAGTGTGGACTACAAAGAGTGGCAGCAGCCTCTCAGACAAAAGCCCACCAACCCAAGTGACAGCAATCTGAGGGAGGTTCAGGTTGAGTATCCGGAAAAATTTCTTCTCTGAAAGAGTGGTCAGGTGTTGAAATGTGCTCCCAGGGAGGTGGTGGAGTCACTGTCCCTGGAGGTGTCCAAGGAACGTTTAGATGTGGTGCTAAAGGATGTGGCTTAGTGGGGAAATAACAGTGGTAGTTGCATAAAGGGCTCAAACGGGATATTTTTCCCCTCTCCCCCTACTCCAATCGTTCAAACAGTCCTGTGCTCACCAGAAACAGAGGCATATGTGTAACTGCAGCAGCAGTGGGGGGAGGGAGGGAAGCAGCAGCCCTTCCTATGCTTTGAGAGCAGCTGTACAAAGAGTGACATGAGGAGAATTTGTACCAAAGTATTTAGGCAGGGGGCATGGGATGGTGGCATCTGGGAAACTGATTTTTGTTAAAATACGAGTGGAATTGTTTGAGGTCATTGATCTGGATGTCTCAGCACAGACGCTGAGAAGGAAAAGGGACAGTACTCAGTGATTCTGCTGCCAGTTCACCAAAATACATCCTGGTAACACTTCTGAAGACCTCTCTGCCCTCTCATTTGATTCTCCAAAGATTTTTCCATCTAACAGTACATACAAGACTAAGGAGACAAAGAGCAATAACAAATAAAAACATAGCAAAAATCAGAGCAGGTCACAGCTGCAAAGAGAATTATGTAACTACTTTAGAAAATAGTTTTTTAAAAAAAGTTAAAACAAACAAACAAACAAATGTAATGAACATTTTGTTTTCCAGTGATTTGTAAAGGAGAAATGCGTTGTTTAGTCCTACTCCATACTACCAAATTGGTAAGGTGTCAGTGGTTAGCTGCTCTTTTATCTTATTAATTTGGTTTATTAACTTGAAATTCGAATAGATGTAGCTAGGTACCAATTAGAGAATATATATGTATATATAAGAAAAAAAACAAGCATTACCTGTGAAAACACAATCTGTGCGCTGCTTCTTTCCTGTGCCCAGGCTGATGTGACAGTGCCATCTGCTGAGATCCGGGAGCACAGCTGGCAGCAGCAGTACGAATGGAGCCTGCGCTTTCTGATGCTTGGCTCTTGCAGCTAATAGGCAAGGAGAGGAGATTCGATGTCCCCCGTTGTGCTTTCAGTCCAGCTAATATTTAGTGCTCGAAGTGGGTTGTGTGGGTTGAGATTTCTAGGCAGCCTGACCAGTGAGGGTGCAGCACAAGCTGCAGCAAAGGGTGGCGTGGCTGGTGTTACAAGGAGCCCAAAGGCCTGGGGACATCCTAAGAGCCTCAGCTGTTGTGATGATTGAAGGCATGATTCCATGTTTTTGAAGCCCGTACTGAACTTTTCACTGTTTCTCTGGAGGTGGATTTTAGGACAAAGTTCAGCTGAGGGCTCAAACTGAGATGATGAGGTAATTCAGAGGCACATCCACATTTCGGGATTTTATCCAAACCAAATGTGAGCCCCTAATTCTTTTTCAGTTCTATAACAGAGGATTAGGGAGAAAAGAGACCGTGAACTTCAACAGCAATTAAACATACAGGGTATGGGGTGGTGGTGGAGGGGAGGAGAAAGAACAGCTCTTTCTGCAGGCATTTCTGGTAGCTCTTGTGGATCTCGCACAGGCACATTTGCTATGCAAACTCAGTGTCAAAAATAGTGAAAAATGATCATGGCACTATAGGCTAATGGAATTTCTCAGACAAATGGTCCAGTCAGCTATCCTAGGACATTGCCTTCTTTGTAACCAAGACAGATGATACGCAAACGTTCCACACATCAGATTGGTGCACAGAAATGAATATATTCAGTTTCCATGTGCTGACACAGTGCTATAGAAGTAATCTCAAACTGGGATATAAAGGATGTGTTTTCAGAGTTAAAAAGCAGTTGTTCCAAATGCAGCTTTTCTACATTACAGACAGTGACCCGTCTAGAATGAAAAGATGGGGTTTGAAAAAGTAAATAAATACAGCATAAGTTACCCGTATTTCCTGTCATCTGGCACCTAGAGGAGATAGCAATTAGCGAAGTGCAGCTGGGTTTGGTAGAGAAAGATCTCTGCAGTGAGAACAAGCTCTGAGACTGATGTGGGCTCTGAAAGAGATGAAGGACTTCAATGAATTCCACAGGAAATCACTAATTACGAGAGTCACAAACATTTCAAAACATAACAGTTGTGTCAGTTGGCACAGCCAGGGCTGGTGCTGCTGTAATGCTGCGCTGCGTGAGCACATAGGCTCTATTGGGCATATGCACAGCTGTATGTGCTTCTCTATACATAGCTGCTGACATGCAGAGCTGCTTTCACACGTGTTTTGCTCTGAGATCTTTGCAAACAGGCCATTTTTGGATGCTTAGGAGTATTCATTTAGCAGAAAGTACCGCTGCATGAATGCTTATAACTGTTTGCTCTGTTTTGATGGATGCTTTCCCATGTTCTATAATAAATCGATTTCAACTAATCCATCTTCTGTTCTCATTTCTGAAAAAGCAGATATTATGGCTTAGGGCAGCAAATTGAATGGCTTCAGCCTGGTCGGATGATACAAAGCTGAGCTTCTCCACAAAGAAGTATAATCTCTGTGCAGTGACTGGTAATTCCTAACGTCCATCTGGTAGTGTCCATAAATGGCCATTGTGGGGCTGTTACTCAGATTGCGAGAAGCTTTAAGCACTGTGCAGTGTGACTCCTTGCTGTGCTACACACAGGAACTCATGGTGGTGGGGTGAGCTCTGTTTGTAGTGCTGGTGTGTGGGAGTCCCACTTCAGGAGGAAAAGGGAAATGAGTATTGCTCAGTTATCTGGTGCAGAACTTTAGCGAGAACATCCTCTATTCATGGAATAGCCTCCATTAAAAAGTCCCAGGGTGTTTTTTAGCATTTGAAACCACTTAAAAGCAGAATGGGCGCTTAGCTGCTACAGTTGGGGTTAAAAGTAGTTCCAGATTTCAGTGAGCGGCTTCAGGCTAATTTTTTATCAAGTGAACTCTCTCCAGTGGGAACGCAGCCTTCGTTACATGCCATATCAGCTGCACTGAGTGAAGTAAGTAGAAAGCCTCTGCTGAGCTGCAGCGGGTCTTGGGTCATGCCCCAGGAGCATAAGATGAAGGAAATGAAAAACGTTCGTTACAAACAGCACAAGTGACATAGCACTAATCAGCTTCTTCATCTTATGCACGCCGAGCAGAGAGCTAGAGTTCTGTCAAGTTCTGTTAGCAGCTTCCCTGCCACGCATGCATCATTTAAACTTCGGCAAATGATGATGATAGTGGATATTGCGTTAAGAGCTGTACACAGAAATGCAACCAAAGCCAGAAGGGAGATGATGGGTTGTCTCTAGGAGGGAGCTTTGGGGCTGGAGCGCAGCTTTGATTTGTAACCAGTTTCACACAGCGTTTGCTCCGGATACACGCACTGGCGATGCGGCACTACTGACACTGAGCAGGAATACAGGATTTGGGTGAAGGATTTGGGCGGCTGGAGCACGGCGGCGGGCCCGGCCACTCGCTGAGGGGAAGCACCAGCTCCCTACAGGGAGCACGGAGAGCGGTGAGCGGCCTCACCCGCTCGGAGCCGCCAGGTCAGCGCGGCGGCGGCGAGGCCGGCGCGATCCGGTGACACACTCGGTCAAGCATTTCCTGTGCGGAGCCGAAGGGCCGCGTCCGAGGCCGCGGAGACATCGCGGCGGCACTGCGCCGCGCCACCCGCCGCCCGGAAAGGTGAACCGAAAGCGGCGCGGATGGAGGGCCGGGGGAGGGCGGGGGAGGCGGACCGCGGGAGGGAGGCAGGCGCGGGGCGCAGCTCGAGCTGCGGCGGGAGGAGCTGTGAGAACGCCACGGAGGCCGGACGGCGCGGGGCCGTACTCCGGCACGGCGGGAGCCGAGAGGGCTGCGGAGGTGAGGCGAGGCGAGGTGCGGGCGGCGGCCGTGAGCGGCGAGCCGTCCCGTTAGCGACTCCGGGCTCCCACCGCCACGGGCGAGGAAAGTAACGGAAACTCCGTCGGGCAGCAGCGCGCACGCGCCGTCTCGCCGGCTGCGCCCCGCCGTCGGGGGGCGCGCCGGGGGCTGTAGTTCGCCGCCTCGCGGCGCCCCGGACCGCGGTGGGGTCGCGGGACTACAGCTCCCGGCAGCCCCCGCGCCGCAGCCCGGCCCGGGCGGCTCTGGTGCGTGCGGGGAGCCGCGGGGCTGCGCGGCGGGGGAGA